CTTTATGAATTTATTATTGCTTCCTTAATTACTTATTATCGATAAATGTTTCAATAAGTAAAACGTCACAGTCTCTCTTAAATATAACAAAGAGAAAGCAGCGTTTGCATGTCATCAGTTTTCTTTATTTTATCGGGTATATCGCAAGATTTATTTTATGAGTATATGCGTAGTGATATTTTTACTAAACAGTGAATTTAAATATATTTATGCTAGTGCGGTGTAAATAATACCGTGGTAAGCCGGGATAAGTTATTATAAGATATACTTTGTTAAATTTTCATCACTAAGCTACATCAAAGCATAATAAAGCAACTTTAGTACTAAAACTCTAAAGTTTCTTAAGGTATTTAATATTAAAGGAGAAATGTCTCTCAAATGACATCGCCAGCTACTGGTATAAAACAAGTCTGCACTTTTGGAATACGTTGCGTTATATTTATTAAATGGGAAAAAGAAATTTTAAAAGCAGTTTTTTACTTATGCTTTACGCGAAATATTGTGAATCTATATAATTTAAAATATGGAAGCCAGTCGATTTGCACGCATCGCAAAAAACTACTGGATAGATTTCAATTAAATCTTCTATGTTTTACTAATTAGACGCACCAAGTGTATAGAAAATAAAACAAAAATTAATCAAATTAAGTACCTTATACAAAATAATAAAGTAATACGTACATTCATTTTATTCATTCATGTATAAGACATTTAAGAAACAAAGACTTTTATAAACACTGCCAAAGCCATTGAACGTAGCTATCTTTTCGTTGCTTCCTCGCCATGGAAAATTATGGCGTGCACACCGCACTGTTGTTACTATAGACTAATATCAGTTAGTTTAACACATCTACAACCCTACAGGTATTGAAAATGCCCATAGGTGGTGATTATCACTTAACATCAGGTGAACTGTCAGCTCGCTTGCCACCTTCTGATATTAAAATAAAACCATGCTATATTGCAGATTAACTTGGCAAAGATTGTTTTTGCAATATTTGGAAAATCGAAAATTCTTTATAATAATCCATACCTTCATACGACACTTACGAAAACATAGAATATGATAAGTATTAGACATAATCTTATAAAATTTTATTAATAATGATGTTAAATCATTTTTTAAATAATGGTGTTGTGTGAAAACATGGCGTTTGAAAATGATATTTATACATAATTATTATATCATGACTTCGAAACAGTTTCTTTAAGTTTATTCGTTAGTAAGTTTGTTTCCACTTTATGCGCTGTATTAAAATTAGGTTTTTAATAAAAGTTTTTAACAAAATCTATACATTTTATAGAAGCAAAAAAAATATATGTTAATCTTGATCTTACATTCTAATGGACCATTGTTTTAAAAACATATTCTCTATATATTTTCTCGATAGAAAAAAATCTACCTCTAAACGTGAAATGCAAAAAAAATAGATATAATAAATTAACAAATCTTAATGAAATTAATATCAGTGGTGTAGAATACATTAGTAAAAAGGACTGTTATCTTAATTTGTTGATTGAAGTAAGATATTTGTAAATATTAATTTAATTCATTAAAATTAATTCGAACGCGATGACCAAAACACCGCGCCACCGCGGCGTTGTTTCGATATTCTCTTCCAACTCCACGCGTTGAACAGAGAGCGCTGAGGCGCCTTGCTAGATGGATCTATGCCGCTCATCGCCCGCTCACCGTTACGAAATATGTTTCGTATTTATTTATTATTGAGAGTTTTAATTTTATTGGACCTTCGAAAACACGAAACTAAAAAATATATATCCACATATTTCGTATTTATAAATTATTTGTATGTATTAACAGTTGTTAATTAATTTATTTAAAGCATAATTTCAATGTCTTATCTCGTGATTGATTGGTCTATCAGTCCTATACATACCGTGTATAGGACTGATAGACCAATCCAACTGAAAGACCATCATTCTTTATGGATTGGGTTCAAAACCCTAAATTTTTTGTTGTACTTATTGTTGATTTTCTTGTTTGGAAGTATTTTTTAATTACCATTTAATTATTGTTGATTTTTTATTTTCATAAATAATTACAACGCAATATTATTGTATTTGTTCAAAGTTGAAACAGTTGGAGAACAATCTATCAGTAAATAAACCAACTCTTAGTATTAAAATTTTTTAACATCTATTTTTTTATTAATATATTTAATTGTTCACTCTAAAACGAAAATTTATGTTATACACGAAAAATAATTATTTTATAATTTTTTTATAATTTGTTTATTTCCCAAATTGAGCCATTTTATAAAATAAAAACAAAATAATTAGTTGGCTAACAAATTAAAAGTAAAAATAATATAAAAAATACAACTCCACTCGATGAGTGGTTTGAACTTGGGACTGCAGCAATAAACAAATTGTTTACCGTTGTGTATGACGCTCGGACCAACAGGCTACGCGAGGTTTGTGCAAAGTGACAAAATTTCTATTCTAGTAATAATTGCTGTCGTTTATCGATAAGAAATAAGAATTTTATCGATAGTTTTTTAAATTTCATTTTAGTTGAAAAAGTTATATAACATAGTAAGGCTTGAACATTTAAAGGATTAATTAAAATTCCTAATATATAAAAAAGTTGTACTCGTAATTTCTGCAAAAAATTTTATGAGCCATTTCTTTAAAATCACAATATAAACCATAAAAACAAAATATAATAATTATAAGTAATTTGCCTTTATTAATTTATTTGACTTTAAGATTTTTTATCATGATTTTTAATCAATTCCTTTTCCATTTAATTAAAAAAAAATAAACAGGAAGAAGATTTTCTAAAATAGTTGATTGAATTACGTAACCTACTTAAAAGTGTGTCGCCTACATAAAACGCACACGGCGGAGCCGCGTAACCTACTTAAAGACGCACATGGCGGAGCCGCATGTCACGAAGCACCGAGTCAGCAGGCCCGACGCCCTTGCAAGAATCACGTAGTTCCAACCTACTTAAATCGGAATTCATTATTCTTCGGTCCCACTTCGACCAAGATAATCACTTTAGTTTAGTTTAGTTGTAGAATTATTGTAATTTTTCTTTTTTTATTAAATTTATATTTTAAGAATTGTTTTCTTCAAGTCCTGCAGGTGCAGCTAACGTAATTATTGCTTTCTCATACTTTATATTTGTTTGTTTATTATTATTCCTATTATAATATAAAAGTAAAATATAATCATGGTCTATAAAAGATATTATAGAGATCATCTGTGTACATTTTCGGCCCATCAGTACACACACACTAGGTAATGAATGACTTGGTCTACCGGAGCGGCGCGTAGACGAAACTCGCGCGCTGCGCGCCGGTAAGCGGCGTTACCCCTCCTCCGCTTCCTCATACTTCACCACCCAAATAGTTAAAAATTCACTGCATACAGCGCCTTAACTTTCAAACAATAAATGCAGAGTCTTGTAAATAATGAATTGTGTTCAATAGTGAAATGACCTATGAAAGCTTTAAGACGACGTGGATGGTATTCAAAGCCTCATAACATTAAAAATATAGCAAAATATGTCACAAATTACTTGTTTTATTTCTCAAACACTTTATACATAGGCTTTTTTATTACATGCTAGCTTTTACCCGCGGTTTCGCATGTTTTTAATGTATTTTTTACTAAAAATAATAAAAATAAATGTAGAGTTCCGTACCCAAAGGGTAAAACGAGACCCTATTACTGACACTCCGCTGTCTGTCTGTCTATCCATCTTTACTACTACCAGGCTGTATCTCATGAACTGTGAAAGTCAGATAGTTGAAATTTTCACAGGTGATGTAAAAAACAGATTAAAATAAAAAAATATTTAAGAGGGCTCCCATACAACAAACGCAAGGCGGTTGTTAGACAACATATAGGTACCTACTTACCAATTAGTTTATTATAGAAAATGGTACGGAACCATTCGTGTGTGAGTCCAACTCGCACTTAGCCGGTTTTAATATCTCTAAGAATATGTGTACAAATTTTCATAATAATCAATTGAGTAGTTTTCGCGTTTTTTTTTTTTTTTATGCGAAAAGTTGTCAAACGAGCCGACGGTTCACCTGATGTTAAGTGAATACCGCCGCCCATGGACATCTGCCACACCCAAGGGTTACAGATGCGTTGACAACCTTTTGAAAATTGGGCTCCGGCTACCTCACTCACCAGACGAAACGCGAAAGTATTTGACACACTTTCACTTTACGCTGGTCTTCTGTGAGGTCGAGGTACTTACCCGGACGGGCCTGCCCATTCGTGCAACAGCCGAGGCTGCTGCGTGGCCCTACCACCGTAAGCGTAACAAACAAACTAACATTCACATTTATAATATTAAGTAGAGATGTGAATATATATTTGATTTTCACATTCTATTTTATATATTTTACTTGAAATCTTAATGACCGTTAGTTACTGTATCTATTTTCATTGTCCTTCGCGAAACTACGAATACTGTGTTCAGAATGAATATTTGCTAGGAATTTTCTAATTTTTCTCAATGCATGTGAAGAAGGTAAAGCAACATGGTCTCTTGATAATATTAGTAATGTCAGTTTTATTAACATAACCGAAGCGTGCCCCTCATTGTTGCGTGGTATAGGTACATCGTAGAGTTGCAATATAATAAAAGCAGAAGAATTAAATTACGCGGGCTAAAATATACCGAATTAAATCAAACTTGGTATATTTTATTAATTTTAACAAATTGAATCTGAAAATACGGCCCAGCTCTTTTTATTTTCAGTACAATACAATACAACAAATTTACAATAATATTTAGAAAATGTGTATCGTTTATCAATAAATTTCGGGATTCATATTATGTCAATCATATTTTTCTTACACTGTTACATATTTATCACCCTCATAAACCTTTTGCAACAATCCGTAATAAGTTGTGGAGTATTTTGGTACAAAATGCTTATTCTTTATGTTACACTACCTAGCACGTCGTAGCACTTTAGCTTTAACTAATTACCGTTTTAATTTGCCCTTAGGTCGAGATGCTGTACCAGCGCTACTTTCTGCGCATGAACCAGACTAATATGACTCACCTACTTGGACTGCTGCTAACAGTAGCTTTGGCACTAATGGTGGTGCAGGTTCAAACCCTGCTAATGACCCAAAACTTCCTTAGCGGTTTTATTCATCCCACTAACTCAACTGCTCTCTTTGAATACGACCTATACAGGTGAGTGGAAGACCTCTGAATTAAATTTTGTTATTATGATTGAATCATTGTACGGGATGGAAACTTTGGATTCTTCAGTAATAAATTGTCAAACACCCGCAGAGTCGCCTACAATTAAGAAATTACTCGGTGATACAATAAAACCTTACTAAGACTAACTGATATTATGCTCGTAATGATGATAAAATTTAACAGGCCTATTAGAGTTGAGGTAAGCAGTACAAAAAATACGTTTTCAATGAAAAACTATATTTTGCATTGCTTCACAGCCAAATATTCGCACAGTATAATTCACCGTAGAATGCACGGTTAACCAGCGAGTACAGTGTCAATTTAACTGGTGCCGGTAATTTGAGTTAAAAAAAAAGAAAATGTATGTCATAAGCTACCAACGCTTTAGCATTAATCGGCCATGTGCATATTAAAAAATATGTCGTAATATATAAATTAATAAATTAAAAAATAATTTTGTTTTTATCTTTTTGCCCTCAGCCGATTCGGTCAGTATCCTGTATACCCAAACATAACGACAATTAGCCTCGCCGACGATATACTAGAAAGCAACGCTACCAACCTGAAGCGCTTTTACTACGAGAAGGAGCGCTTCGCTCATATTGCTAACGTAGTTATCCTCGGAATCGCTGCAACGATCTACGCATGTAAGTTTTATATACTTAACTATCACTAGAGAAATTATTTCGCCTTTTTGTTGAGCACATGAATGATAAGAAGCACATGAATGAAATTTACCCGCTGGTTTATAAGAGATTTATGAAATAGAGTACTTATTTCGAACTATTTCAATATTATTGAATGAAATTAAATAAATGAAAAGTAGTTCGCGATAAACATTATAAAAATATAAAAAATGTAAAAATATATAAACCCCCATTTTTAGTTTGCCAAAAACGATTTGGGATTTATCTAAAAATATATGATTTATCTAAATAGATATTACAAAAATAATCTAAATTGTCAAATGGGTAAATATTTTCACAGTCTTATACAAATTCAGTTAAGTAGTCAACATAATGAATGAGATAAAACGATACGGTCGTAACCAACGTTAATAATCTCCATCTATCTGCCGGATGGGTCTTCTAAGAACAAAACACTGTCTTTTAAAGCAACATAGTTGCTATATTTGTGTTGTTGGCCACAGAGTATAGTTTGTTACACGTTTGTTACACGTTTGTAACCCATGCACTAGTCATGTAATTAAAGAGAATATACGTTTTGTTAAGTTATAATTTATTACTAACAGGTCTAATCGCGTTCTTGAGCCGACCAGCAATGAACGAAATATATCTGCTCACCATCTCCTACGTGGTGCTGGCGACCTTTCTTCTGATTGAGCTGTCCTTTGTCGGAACATCCGTTTACAGGTACAATCTTTAAATGCAAGTATTCTTTAATTGAGGGAGACATTTACAATTTTGTATATGGTTAAAAAAATGAAAAGGTAGAAAAATACAATTATAACTGAATTTTTTATTTATCACATATGTTTTAATAATCATCGTGTTCATTTTTTTTCCAAATTCATTTGCTCGGGGTACTTCAACAACATACGTGAAAACAAATATGATCAGTGACTACATTCCACAGAAACGTTAATTTCTAACAAAACTTGCTAGTTTAGAAAAACATTCCCTTTGTTACAATTTGGCTATACGTTCACCTTATTCATTTTAAACAAGAGCTTACTGCGTAACAAAGTTCTGTTCGTTAATGCAAGATGTTCCAAGTGGTTACCAATGCTTTTACAAACTTTAAATCCATAACAATACCAACTTTGACAATATCACATTGCTTTCTCTTTAGGTTTTGTAACAATCTGTGGCTTTCGATTCGATGAATATCCAATCATAATTATGAGCCTCAAAGCATATTGTGGATTAGTTTCATGTTACACTAATATATGATGAAATAATTGGAACCGCAATTAATTTTCATTATAAGATCGCCTTGTTAAGATCCTAAGATATTAAACTTTATAAACCATTTTCAAGCGGGGAAAAGTAATTATTTAAATTTATCAACATATCCGTTTGTTTCGAGGTAAATAACGTGTATTCGTAGAATAGGCTATTGACTTTAGAATACGGCATTTTCGAACGCACTCACCGTATTTTATGGGCTTGTAAAAGCGAATACCTCGAAGTTTATCTTTGATTATTGGGATAAGTGAAAGTAGCAGAGCAACAGGTCGGGAATATTAGGTTGGGGAAAAACTCTTTTCGCAAATAGAATATGTATATGTATGTACTTATAATATAATCTCTTTGTCTATACCATTTGTATCTGGCTGGTTTTGGTATCATTAAAAAGCTTAAATTAAAAAAAAAGATAATTCAAAATCAAATTTGGAAAATGTATGATTTTCATTTGTTTTTCTTACTGTTGGGATGAGTGATTCTAATGAAGAAATTCGATACATTTTAAAATTGTACTACAAAAAAGGTAATAATGCAACGCAAGCCGCGAAAAAAGATTGTTATATTTATGGACCTAGTGCAGTGTCTGTGAGAGTAGCACAAATTAGGTTTAAGCGTTTTCAATCCGGAAATTTTAGTGTCAAAGATGCACCTCGCTCTGGGCGCCCTGTTACGGATAAAATGGATGCCATTTTTGAAAAAGTGGAGCAAGATCGGCATATTAGTAGTTTCAATGTAGCTGAAGAACTGGGAATTGACCACAAAACAGTTTTGGCGCATTTGAAAAAAGCTGGGTACACAAAAAGCTCGATATTCGGGTGCCTCATGAGCTCACTGAAAGAAACCTAATGAACCGTGTACTCATTTGTGATTCTTTATTACAACGTAATGAAACCGAACCATCTTTGAAAAACCTGACAACTGGTGATGAAAAGTGGATCACGTACGACAAGAACGTGCGAAAAAGGTCGTGGTCAAAGGCTGGTCAGGCTTCACAGACTCTGGCAAAACTCTGGGATTGGAAGGGCATTATTCATTTCGAGCTGTTACCGCCAGGCAGGACCATTGATTCTGAACTCTACTGCGAACAACTAATGAGAATAAAGAGCAAAAAGTTGAGAGAAAGCGGCCGAAATTAATCAACAGAAGGGGTGTGGTATTTCATCATGATAACGCCTGCACATTTTTAGCCACTCAACGAAAATGTAGAGAGTTTGACTGGGAGATGTTAATTGCATCCGCCGTATACCGTCCTGACCTTGCATCTTCAGATTTCTACTTGTTTCAGTCTCTTCAGAATTCTTTGGGCAGTGTCAGGTTAACGTCACGAGAGGACTGCCAAAACCACTTGTCGCGGTTTTTTGATCAGAAGCCCCAGAAATTCTTTAGAAATGGGATCTTGTCCCTAACTACAAGATGGCAGAAAGTTATCGAACAAAATGGCACCTATATATTATTATTATTAGTTAAATGTAAATAAACTTTATAAAAAAAGTTTTTAATTTTCATATAAAATGCGAAGAAACTTTTTCCCCAACCTATTATATGGAAGATGACTTATTACCTCGAAACGTGCCATAGTCATATATTTCTATATATTCACGGAGTACGCTGAAGCGTTGTGGAGGAGGATCCTGCGTCGAGGAAGCTGCTGTCGAATATTTTCCAAGACAGCAGGCAAACAACAGTGAACATACCAGTCTGCTGTACTGTCCTTCCATCCTCTTGCACAACTGTCGCGAAATGACCTTTCCAAACAAAGAACGAGGCAATCATCTTTTTTCCTCGACTTCTTTCTTGCTTTACTTTTTTTAGCCGACCAAGAGGGAACACCCACTGATCAAATTGTCTTTTGGTTTCTTGTTCGTAGCTCTAATATATCATGTAGCTATTATCATGTGACGATGTCAAATACATCATTAGAGTCACCTGTATTGAACTTTTCCAACTTTTCTCGACACCAATCCATGTGAAGGCGTTTCTGGTTTCTGGTCTTTTGTTAAAGTCAGTTCGTTAGCAATATTTATAACTGGCCAGATTCAAAAACTTTCAGTCCTACTCTAGTAGCGTAGTAGACTTTCTAAGTAACCATCAATTAACTAATACGTTAATGTTTGCTTAACATAAGTTACTTCATCATATTAGTACACATTCTACTAAGGTAAAGACTTCACAAAACCATATTTCACCCATATATTGTAACCTATTCTTTTCTTATTATTTTTTTCTTATTATAACTACCTATTGGTTTTGTTGCTAATAGTTTTAATAAATTGATATTGCAGCAGTATAGATAAAAAAAATTTAGGTCATCAATCAGAAGTCTTCAATATAGCCAAAATACATCAGTACAAAATATGATATAGCCTATACGAATTATTTCGTCCTGACAACTCTATAACAAATGTGTATACATCTTTAACGGCAATTTAAAAAATGCACTGGCAACCCAATTGGCCCTTAATTAAGTGTTTTCTTTCTTGTAAGTTCAGCCTATTAGTGAAGTTGATTCACATGTATCATTTTAGATCCCTGACCGTAAGCGCTGGCACCTGCGCTTTTTTCACATACATCACTTACGCAACTCTGCCCGTGCGGTTGCAAGAAGCTGCTATTGGAGGAATGGCTCTATCTGCTATCAACTTTGGCGCGCAAATTATGCAAAAGAAGACCTCGGACGTCCAGGTTAGAATTTTATTTGTAATACGTCGTTATCTCCATATGATAATGGATAATTAAAGTAATGATAAAACTTGGTATTTATTGTTGCCACAGATTTTTTGTAACCTGATCACGCTGATCGCAAGCAATGTAGCGGGAATTATGACACACCAACCTCGTGAACTGGCTCAGCGCCGGGCTTTCCTTGAAACTCGTGACTGCGTAGAGGCCAGACTTGTGACACAACGCGAAAATCAACAACAGGTAAAGACTGCTTTATCGAAAGAACTCATTTTCTGTTTAAAATGTATGTTAATTAAATTCTTCAGATTTACTTAAAATAACACATTAACAAAATTCGTGTGTACCACAGTACGCTGGTTAGATTTTATCTTACACATAGGATGAAACGCGCGCATAATTCACATAATTGTTTATGATTTGAATTCGAACTTTTATTTCAAATGTAGAAATATGGAGATATGTTAGCTCCAGATTTAACGATGTGATTGGGTTTCGGAACACAACGGAGAGGTTATTTGCAACTTTAAGCGATAGTAAAAAGCTTGGGACCGGCTCGTTAAAGGAATCCAAAGGCTGCACAATCTTCACGGCGCGATAGAGATAAGTTTAAGTAGGAAGTTAAAAATGTGATTTTTTGTGTCATAAATGGCACCGGATTTGGTCCATCACTACTGGCCGTTTGAGGAAGCTCAAAGTCAGTCAGCGGACTATGGAGCGGTATTTCTCTGAGTTCACAAAGAAGACATGCCACACTAGAACAAAAGTAACCGACATAGCTCAAAGACTTAATAAACTGAACTGGCAATTGGCCGGCGATATAGCTCTAAGAACCGATAACCGAAGGCTGGAAGAAAGGTTTTAAAGTAGCAGCCTCGTATTGACCATCGTAGTGTAGTAGGGGTACTAGATGGAGTAACAACTTGTGCAAGTGTGCGGGAAGTCGATGAATGCATTTGGCTCAGGATATTGCTCCATGTCGGTTTCTGGGGGAGGCCAATTGAAAATCACGTAGCACTTTAGCTTAATTGTTCGATTAAAATGAAAAATAACGAAAATTACTATTAACCGCACCGATGTAATTGAATAGAAACACAGCAAGTTCGATACAGGAAGATGACCGTTCGCACCGCCGTCCAAAGTGTGAAGAACACACCCCCATGTCCGTTGTCAATTGACTAACACAACTCTCAGCGTCAAGTCCGCTCACTTCCTGTACCGTTTAGGCACGTTATTCGTACGGTTTAGGCAGCGCACGCCAAGACAGCTTCCTTATCGTTATGGGCAAATTCTTACAAAATCTTCAATAAAAAACACAAAATCTTTATAAATTGTAGCCTATGTGTTATTCCAATGTATACCTTGCATCAACTATTATCGTTCGTCCCTAAGAGTTGTATACATTACAATGAATATAATAATACATAGATAAGATCAATATATAGGGAAATTGAGAACGTAACTAAAAAGTTGATGAACTGATCGGAATGAATTTCACAACCATATTTATGAGCATATCGCTGATCCATTGTGCTACAAACATGCTGAAACGAATAATAATATTATACGGAACAAGAACCCCGTCTTCACAGCTAATCTTGGCCCCCGCCAAAATTAGCTAATTTTCGCGATATTGTGCTACTCCGTCCAGCGATATTTTTAATTTCTTTTTCTTTTTTAATATCTTTTGCCGAGCTGGCCCATCCTTGAAGCCGACCCACTTGCATTCCAATTTTTTTGCATATTGTAGAGTACACTTTGTTCGTTGTCTTCCTTTTGATGTCTTTTTTTTTAATTTTTTATTTTAATATAATTAAGTATGATTAGCAGTAGTTGCATCACCGGCGTAGGCCTCTCCTAAACCTTCCCAAATTTCTCGATCACGTGCCTCTCGCATCCATAGGGGTCCACATCTAAGCGAAAAACAAGTGGTTCAGTACTTCTCTGTCTATCCGTATTACCTTCGTTCCCCAACCTGTATTTAAATACAGATATTAATATCTGAATATAGAATCTTGCACTGCTGCGAACAATTCTCGGGAGAGCGGATTGCCCGGCCCTACCCCTTTTTGTATGGGAAATCTTTCGCTTTCCAGAAGCACTTTGGCAAATCAAAACACATCACAAACAAATCCACATAAAACATTATATTTATAATTGAGTATAAAAAAGAAAAATGTCTTCAGTAAAGTTGCTCCATTTTATGATTTTTCCACGGAAAATAAAATAAATTTAAAACTTTATAGTCACTAATACTTTATTGAGATCCTCTTATCCGTACCTTGTTTGCGAAGATTAGCCGTAAGCCTTTTTCTACTAAAGCAGATTTTTTCTTTAATCTCCATGAACATAATTTCAATATGCTTCATAATGTATACTGATTTTATACTAGGTATAATATCCGCGGGAGGTAAACATTTTTGAGACATTTTGTATATAAAATCATTTCGTACTGGCATTTATTTTCGTTGAACTAGAAAGGTTTTGTTATAAGGAAGAAAATGGCATCATTAACTACAGCTCACGTACTCTTGCTATGCATCGTAAATCCACATTCTCGTATGTCGTTGTGGAATTAACGTTTCTAATTGAAATTGTAACGTACTCGTACATACATGTACTTAGACATTTCCTAGCTAGCAATTAGCTCGCATTGTGTGCGACTGGATGTTTCACACAGTTACCTTGGCAGATTTCTTCGTCCTATATACACCTACATTTGTTAGAAAATTGGATCTGTTATTCTTTTATAAAAAAAGATGCTTTGTTGAATATAGAAAACATATTTGCTGATAACGAAGGAATTTATTATACATTATCAATAAAAATTAGAGAAAAAAAACTCATATCAAAAGCTGGGCTGACTTCAAAGCTAAATATTATTTCACCGATTTCAAATCTTACTAATATTATAAACGCGAAAGTTTGTATGTATGGATGGATGTTTGTTACTCTTGCAAGCAACTACTACTAAATGGATTTTAATGAAACTTTACAATAATATAGCTTATACGTCAGAATAAGACATAGGCTATAATTTATATTTTTTTCTAACTAGAGACACGTTCTATCGGGAGGTACTGCACAAAACCGATCCTAGTCGTGTCTTCAAATATTGGCAATAAATTTGTAGTCGGTTTTAAATACATGCCAGTCCATTTTTAACACGCTTATATTAGTTTCACCTGTATGTATGTATGTATGTAACGGAATCTTTGAACGTGATTCGTCCCACTTTGAACGATCACATTTGAATCAAACTTTGCACACTCGTCAAAGACGCATGAAAATACAATAATTTAAATAGTTTTTCCCCATTATCCTGATCAGGATCTTCACATTCTGTTTAGCATGTAATAATAGTTTTATGCGTCTCGTCATAAATGTAGAACTATTATTTGATTTGGTATGGCCAATATTAAAAAGTTTTGTTGCTCGCTCACTCTGAAAATTATTGAGAGACACACAGATTATCTGATGATTTTTTTTTCAGGAACGTCTCTTGCTATCGGTTTTGCCACGTCACGTTGCAATGGAAATGAAGGCTGACATTGCCAACCAACCTCGTCAAGAGCAATTCCACAAGATCTACATCCAGCGTTATGAAAACGTTAGGTCAGTGTATTTGAAAAGTCATTTTATAATAAATCTATTTTTATGATGTAATTTAGATTGTGGTAACTTACGAAGGTATTAATTTCCTTGTAAAATTTCGACGTTTCATAAGAACGCGCAAGCGTCTATGTGAATAAAGAAATTTTATTATTATTATATATGTACTTGAATATTTTTTCAAAAGTTATTAAAATACTCAAAGTAAATTAATGTTACAAATTATTTATTTATTCAGTAACCTTTTTCGCCTTTTAATGAGCTTGATCATGGAAACTAGGTGGTACGGAGCATATTTGCGTATACTTTAAGTAATTGTTATGAGTTGTGAATTTATAACAAATATTATTTAATAATAATGGATTTGCCATTAAGTTGTAAAGTTATTAAAATATTTACAAAGTTTACATTATTTATAACTGTTTCAAAGCTAAAAGTTAACACTTCGAACCACGCAGTTCGGTTTACCGAAGCGAATACTTGTTGCGAGGTTTCCTCGTTATCATACCACGAAGTAAATAATTGCATGAATTGCGATGAACTTTCTAGCTAAGCTTTAGATATTATTCATAGATACCTACGCTTAACAACGCAATTAAAAATTTTTAACGCAATTAATTATTTTATTTACTACCACGCATTCCAAAATTTTTAATGGTATTTTTCCATACGCGTATACATAAGGGCCGGTGGGCCATGCCCACCCCTGTATTATCTTAGTGGCCACCCCAGTATTTTAGGTTACTGATTCGTAATTTTAGGCTGGATACCTAAGAATCTTCATAAAATTCATTGAAATCAAATAATCATCTACAACCGAAAAATTTATGTACATCCGTGTACATTCACATTCGATTTATTTACTTGTAAATATACAGCGTACTACCTACTAATTAGTTAATACTACTATTATAAATTAATAAAAATTATTAACCACAACAAACTGTTACTTTTTTAATGCGACGCATAGTAGAGGCCCAAGCCCACCCTGAAAAATAATTCTAGATACGCCAATGTATTTTTCCGATGATGACATAGTTTCCATTATATGGAGTATATTCTGCCCACTGATGTTAGATTTGTTTATTACTAAGTAACTCAAATTAATTTGATGACCGGACTAATAAATACACAAAAATAATGTAAACTACGCGATAAAATATTGCGATATTTGCTAAAATCCTTTATCAAATAATGATTTTTAAAAGCTATAGGGCTATCTTTATAATCTGAATATGAATTCTGACTGAATCTCGAAAATAGAATGTCATTTAATGAAACAGTACCTAGAGGACCGGATTTTTTTGGTAAATCATGTATTTTAGAAATAAAAAATAAGGAACGTAATAAAGAAGTGTGTAAATGATCGTGATACGAACCGCGGCCGTTTGTTTTGGGGCCGCCCGATTGATTACCTACCGAGCTATATATATATATATATATATATATATATATATATATATATACCCTTTATGCATTTTTTATAAATAAAAGCTTATTACATTGTGATTGAAATAATGGTGTATTTATGCTAAATGTTCTTTAATGTTCCATCACCATGTATCAGGCTTTTATTTATAAAAAATTGGGTATGTGATAAAAACACATAAAAGTATTTCGTAAGATTTAAATATTTATTTACATACGAATGAAAACATATATATAATTCCATCTATAAACATTGCGTACCTTACTTAACTTAGATTAAAATTTCGGAAGAACGGATTATAGCCTAAAACGTATGAATTCATTGCTTATTTTACTTAATATTTTTCATTATAATGATAGTACGATTCTTTTCCAAACGAAATGAAAAGGTTTGTTCGCTATTTCCATTCCGACGCCTTTTCCCTTACTTTAATGGTTTGGTTATAAATTCAATTTCACAACTTTTCAAGTCACCGAATCGGACGAGAAAAAAATAACAAAGGACTAAAAACTCACCCCCACCTACGCATATAATAAAAAGTTTCCTTTAACTGACAACTTCGACGAAAGTAGGTAATTTTATCATTTAATAAAGATTTTTCTTATAATATGAAGGACCTATTTATAAACATACGAAATAATCAAATACCATTAGTTATGTTATATATTAATTAAAACTATTCTTTGTACTATGATGAGATTTTTGAGTATGTTGTTTTTGTCAAGATTATTAAGATCCAATTGCGAAGTAGGGGGTGACACTAAATTGCAATTGGGTCTTTATACCCTGAATCAACAATCTCGGCGTTGTAGGAGTGATTAAAAACTATAAGAGCTTATTAAAGAGGTATTTATATACTACTCAAGTGACTTTAATGTTTTATACAATTTGGTCGTTAAAGAAGAATTAAAATTATACTTATTTTTTTTTGGGCTGGATGAGCCACTGTTGGCCTTAGGGGCCTTTACAGTTCCGACGGGCTTGAGGTGGCCTGGCGCACGAGGCGCCTAGCCTGAACCTCGGCCTACTATTATTACGCGTTATGGTGACTAAGCTCGAGGGCTCCCGGGGGAGCCTCGGCTCGGGCCGTCACGCTATTATTATTATTATTTCGTCACGTTATTATTATTGGGAGGCCGCCAAGCTCTTAGGGCGCTTTGGCGGGCGCTCCATGGAGTGATTAGGCTCAAGGGTCCCCGAGAGGGGACCTCGGCTTGGGCTGTCACTCAGCACGCGTTTAGCATTCCGATTCGAGGGTGCTCGAGAGGGCCGGACCTCGGCTCGATCGGTAGCTATTATCTGACTGGGGGAATCACTAGAGCTAACATTACTACCACTTCGGAGAGCGTTGGCGCTGGGAGAAGAAGTGGCGGAAGAAACTCCAGCAACACTTCTATCATTAATAGGGGAAAACCTGCCAGGTACGTGGCGGAACCTAGTATATGTTTGCCGCACTCGCCGGCGAGTGCGGTGTGTGTTGGTGTGTTTCTTGAGTTTTTTGATCCTTTCGATGGCGATAGTCGTCTCATCGTCAGGGAAGTCGAGAACGTGTCGCGGTCTTCGGTAATCGCGGCGGAAAATATTTAGCGGCAAGGGCCTGTAGGTGACGGCACCTACAATAAGTGGGTTGGGATGCGCGGCGGCAGAATCGAAATATCGGCGCGTCGCCGACTTCAGGAATTGCGCGATGATGGGCAACTCTAGATCGACATGTAGGTCGATATTGCGCATGAACCAGGGTGCTCCCGTGGCTCTGCGCAAGAATTGATTTTGAATCACCTGAAGCCGGTGTATTTGCTTCGGAGCAATGTGAGCGAAGACGGGGCTCGCGTACGTCATGATAGGGCGAACTACTGCCTTATATAAGGTCACCATGTTCCGAAGGGACATTTTTGACGTTTTATTGAGGAGCGGGTAGAGGCGACCGAGTACGAAGGCCGCCCGGTTCCTGACCTGGGTCACGTGCTGGGTGAATTTAAGCTGGGAGTCGAGGACGACGCCTAGATATTTGACTTTATTAACCCATGGTACTGGGCTGTCCAAGAGTTTAACGGGGGGTGGAGTGGGTATGTTCTTTTTGTGAGCGAAAAGGATGGCCGCGCTTTTGGCGGGATTGATCTCGATCCTCCATTGCCGAAACCAGTCACCGATAGTGATGGCCGCAGCTTGGAGGCGTCGATGGATCAATTCGGGTGTTCTGCCTGTGGTATAGATACAGGTGTCGTCGGCAAAAAGAGCAAGTTCTACATCTTTGACACGCGGCATGTCATTGGTGTAGAGTATGAACAAGACTGGGCCCAACACCGACCCTTGGGGCACCCCGGCTCGAACGGGATGCGTAGTCGAACACACGCCCTCGACGCGATAGCGAAAGGTTCGATTACTTAGGAAGTCTCGTATTATGCATACGAGACGGTCGGACACTCCGTACCCGTATAACTTGTATACGAGCCCGTTGTGCCAGACTTTGTCGAACGCTTTTGCCACGTCCAGGAAGAGTGCACCGGTGTTGAGTCCACGTTGGGGTTTAGTTAAAATGTGCTCCGTGATGCGGTGCACTTGGTGGGTACATGAGTGTTTGGCTCTGAATCCAAACTGCTCTGGAATGGGGAGCCCTTTGGTGTCCATAAGGGATCTAAAGCGGGCTAATATAAGTCATTCAAAGATCTTCCCAAATGTTTTGAGAAGACTTATTGGAGGATATGAGGTTGGGAAAGTGGCGGGTTTAGAGGGTTTGAGGAACCCTATGACATCGCTTCCTTCCACTCGGATGGGAAGAAGCCTTCGGTTAAAGCCGCATTGTAAATTAATACTAGTATCTGAAGGATACTAGTAGGAAGGAGCTTGGTCACCTTATTGGTGATACCATCTGAGCCTGGTGCTTAACGCGGGCGTAGTTTATTAATGGTGTCTACTAGTTCGGAGCACGTGACCGGGGGAACGGGATCGCGAAGTGGCTCTAAGGCTTTCGTTTCTACCTCTTCGTTCACCTTACGGAGGTGTTCGGGGTCGATCGGAAGCAGACTGGGGGAGCATTGAGACTCTAGGCTGTCAGCCAGGCATTCGGCCTTCTCTTCGTCCAGCGTTGCTGGCGTACCTATCGGGCGGACTAATGGCGGCATGGTTGTTATCCCGTTACCCTTGAGGGATTTGGGAAGTTTCCAGAAAGCTACGTGGGATGGTTTTACTGAAGTTAGGGTGGAGTCCCACCGTTCGTTTCGTAAGTCTGCTGTGCGTGTTTTGACCTCACGCTGCAATTTACGTAGCAGTCTACGTTTCGAGTCGGTGGGATATCTATCATAGGCTCGAGTGGCCGCATTCTTGCGTCTCAGCAAGTCCCGCACATCATCTGGCAGGGCCCAGCGATGGTCTTCCATCGCCGGGACCTGTCTCGAGCATTGCTCGACGACGGTGACGTGGCTTGTGAGAGCTCGAATTGCGGTCTCCGTGTCCTGTTTGCTATTCAATTCTTTAGGGATTGACTCTAGTAGTGGAGGATTGGTTTCGTTGAATTTGGATTTTATTTTATGCCAGCTAATGACAGTTTTGGTTTGGGGAGCGGCTATTGCTGAAGGCCCTAGCCGGAGAAGAACGGAGCGGTGATCGGAGCGAAGCTCGTGTATCACTTCCGGATCGCATGTGGAGAGACGAATGTTTTTGACGAGTGCAATGTCAAGCACATCCGATGTGTGTCCCTCCACGTATGGAAAGCGCGTATGTTCGACGGGGGCAAAATTATACTGTAGTTGAAAAGATTCTTGTAGTTGAAGAAGTTCCTGGGGTGAAAAGATCAATACCGCGATGTCCTAACTCATTTGTGATAAGATATCTTCAAGAATAAAAATTTCTTCTTTAAAATTTGTATACGTACATACCTTACACTGTAAAAATGTTTTAAATAGGAACACTTTATTGAATCATGGTTTCATTGCAGCATCCTCTTCGCCGACATCTGCGGTTTCACCTCCCTTTCGGACCAATGCACTGCTGAAGAGCTGGTGCGCCTTCTTAACGAGCTCTTTGCCCGGTGAGTTGCTGCAATAACTGCTAACGAAAAAGAAACAACTCTTTCACGTACGCTATGTAGACATACTTTAATAATTTTTATTATTAAACTAGTCCAGCCACTTCGCTGATCGCATTGTTGCATCTGGGCTTGGATCTTAGTGGTCAAGAAGAACAAAGACATTATATTCTTGTATTGTATTTTATTCATCACAATCCATCAAGGCCGGAAATAGGAGAGGAAATCAGTTCGCAGACCTGCGCCACTACCCAGATTTGGATATCACCCATAAGTTTTTGTAAGGTGTTAATAATGGAACAATTTTTACAAACATTTGCCGGAGGTCTCTTTTGTTAATGAATTTATTATCAGTAAAATTATCATATTAATCCAATATCTGCGTACGAAAAAATTCACAAACAAACCTTATTATTGTTATAAAAATTTTTACTTTCAAATATTTTTTTAAATTAATTAAATAATACAATTGTAAACATTATGACTTACGAAAAATAAAACTGTTAGAAGATTAATTATATACAGCGTGTCGTTACAACCGCGACAATAAATGTACACATGTTTAACGCTACTTGCTAATAGTCTTTAAAAAATACAAAATTAAAAATTAAAAAAAAATAATTTTCAAACAAATTAATTAAATAAAAAAAGAAACAAATTTGTAACCTCCTATACAGCTACAACTGACTGACCCATACATTCAGAGACTTTTTCATTCGTTGCCACAGCGTCGCGTTACAAGTCTCTCCTTCTAACAGTATGTTTTATGTTTTTTAAATTCATTCAACCCATTTTAAATTAATATGCTTTGTGACCATTACAAAAGAACCTTACGTTACAGTTTTATACGTAAAGGTGTTCTAAATTGTTTGTTTTGGAAAATTTAATAACTCAGTGAATATTTATGTTAAAAGAATGTAAATGTTTAACAATTTTAAAAGTTATCTATATGTGTGTTCATTTATTGTCGCAGTTGTAACGACACGTTGTATACTTATTCTTCAATTGAAATACTCCCGGTATTTTATCGTGTGTGTTATGAAACTCGATTCTCATTCAAAATATCTTCGACTTTTGACCAATTGGGATGGTAAAAGAAAAAAAAATGGGTTTGTTTATGTATTACCGTGAACGAAATCAGTTATAAATGTAACGTATACGAATTCAACTAATCTTCCAATTGCTATTTTCGGACACCAAAAATTTATTGAACAGGATATGAATAACTATAAAATAACATTAACAGCATGCTTCCTTAACCTATAGCTATAGAATTTCGAGGTAGGCACAGTATTTACAATGTAAGCCCTTGGAAAGATCAGTGTTTGGATATTTAAGGTATTTATATACCAATCACTTTCTCTGCGATAAAAAATTAAAGGTAAATACTACGGTTCTGAAATGCACCTGCTTACTTCCTTACTTCTTACTGATAGTTATATGATGGTTTATGAAATTTAGTAACTATTAAATAAAACGTTTTTGCTTCTCTACGTGAATATAATAAATTTTTAAATACATTACATAAAGTATCCATTTTACTCCGGCATATCATGGCAGTCTTATCAATGAAATAAAAAAAACTAGACAGTATACTCCTGTTTTATTATTTTAGAAAACGATACTTAATTTAAAGAATTATTTATTCTTTCATTGATAAGTTATATACACCTTTTGGGAAATTAATTATTATAGTTTCTTTTATAACAAACAAATTTAATAAATATTATTCCATTAAAGCAAAAAATGTTCCTTATATTTCAACATAGTCTTTTATTAACTCCGTAGTAAGCAATCAAAAGTCCAAATATCACCGTCACTAGATAAAGGACACGCTGGATTGAAAACAAATACAATTCAAACTGAAGTAATGTCGTTTGGATCCATTACAAATAATAAATGTAGATGTGGACGTAGATTTATTGAAAGTGTAAATGTAAATAAAGGGAATTCGTATGTTTTATTAGTAAGAACACAAATACATTTAAATTTTTAAATAAAATTTGAGTATTAATACTTAAATCTTGTAATAATCTCATTGCATCACATCACAGTGTTAACCATACAATGATAGTAAACCCAAACCAGTTTTAGCCCTTACTCCAGCTCATAAAATGTTCCAATATTTAGCTACAGAATATCTATAATAGCTATAGAACCAATGACTATACAACAAACTCCAGCCGTAGTAATGTGACACCATTTTGAATAGATATTAAGACAATAAAATATTAAAGTAGAAACTAAAGAGATTTTTAAATATTATGTATGTGCATTACTATAATTGGATTATTCCTCAGGAGAATAGAAAAAGGACTTTTGTTTGAAAGGTCGGGTCGAATGATTAAATTACGCACTACGAGCTTTTTTCATTCACCTCCCTAAGGACGTGGTCGATCCTCCAACATTTCTTATACTCCCGTTATAAAATGTGCTGAACAGTAGAGATAAGAAAATATTCATCGCCTTAAAGTCGACATAAGTATAAGCAAATTATATTTCATACGAACTAACATATTCCACTGACATACTAGTAGTTCAGGGTGCCGATGGATATTACCTCTGAATGGGCTCGATTTCTTGGAAATAATTGAACTCGGTTAGTTCAGCTGGAAATAACATATAAACGCTTGGATGCATACTGGTTCCAGAACCGTTGGGTAATTACTGCATTTGTCCTAGGCGGAACATCAACAACCTCACCTACTGCATCAGCTGAGATCCAACCCCAATTCTTAGCAGATATGTCCAGAATTAAAATTTGGCACAACTTAATCCTCCAAATAACTCGTTCCGTTTAATCTCCACAAATGGGAGACTACCCCATTATGGGATGATTAGAAGCTCTTGTTAGAAGTGAAAATAGTGAATCTACATAATACACGTAGAATCTACGTACGTAATACGTATTAACGCTAGTAATAGTTATTTTCTTCATATTACCAACTCGTATTTTTTGTCCATTGGCACAAGTCAGGTAACATCCACTACTGGTAACCAAGCTTACCTTCATCTCTCTTGATCCAGAACCCTTGAGTGTCTCTAGTAATATTAAGAACTGAAGACATTTCGCTATACATTCAATTCATTCATGGCTTTTAAAATTTCTCGGCATTATCAAATTAAATACTACGCTGAGATGTTATTCATCTCTAGAAATTCAGGATAAAATATTCGTATAATACTGACATACCCGGACAATCAAATAGAATACATATTTGATTCGAACTTCGTGATAACTAGGCCTGATGTTGATGCAATGTTGTTGGTTGAGGCATTGATGTTGATATCATACTTTGTTACATTACCTTTTAATTATCATTTCTAAAATATGCAGGTTTCCTTACGATGTTTTCCTACAACGCTGATTATACCTTGTAGTCATACCAAATAACATTAATTTTATATGCAGCTGTTATCTTAGTTCTTTAGTTTCAAAGGGTACTTCATTCTACTTCAGATACAAAAATTTCATAAACAAATTTTCAAATCCTACACTTGTTGCTTTATTTTAATTTTTATGAGGTTGTAAAAAAAACGTTTATGCCGCGTCCTTATCGAATGCTGACATACTGGTTTATGATCCCACTGGATTTTCGTAAGAGATTATACTTTGCGGGTTGCACTATACACTGCAACAAAACAATGCTCTACATTTACGTCCAGTTCATATTTAAATTAATATATCATATTATGCGGTATGAAACTGGGTGGTAAAAAACTACCCTCTTCTTTCTTTCGATTAATAAAGGTTTAATCAAATTTGGCTGAGCCGAACTGAGCCATGATAGGTTCAGTGTCCGGGCGCTCGCCTTTAATTCAATATACTCAAGCAACCTGAGTTTGATCCCCGGTGCCGGCACTAATGAAGTTTTTAACTTTAAGTGCTGACTTTTCACGTGCTTCGCGGTGAAGGAAAACATAGTGAGGAAACCTGCATATTTTCGAAATAATAACAAAAAAAAATTTCGAAGTTATGTGAAGTCCGCCAATCCGCAGTGTGACATGTATAGGCTGTTACTTTACTTTTTTAATCAAAATTAATTACGGCGTCATTCTACCATATTCAATCGATTATTAATAGTTAACTAGTCACTACAAAATGTGTGTACGTAATTGATCCAGGAACATACTTATCTACTTGGAGTAACAAAGTCATTAGCGTCTTTTCCATAAAAAACTAACGCATTTTCCCACCGTTTGAGGTCGTAGGTAATGTTATGTTAATATTACCTAATTTTGGGAAATAAATTATATTTGTTCACCATTTCTTCTCAATCGTTCTGCCTCATAAATTAATTTCAAATATTATATTCTTAACTTCTTTTTTTTATTTAATATGTTTTTCATTCGAACATTCAATGCAGTCTAGTGCTAGTTTTATATTTCATCGAACAGAGCGGTTTGCACAAACCTTGTATCGCAAAATGCCTTCTGCGTGATACCAACACACTCAGCGATTCGTTATCACGAAAATAAAATTTCTTTAACTATAATATTATCTGCATTTAAGTAAAACTGAATAAGCGCAGACCTCACGTCTTCTCGCCATCCCGTTATTTATTTACGATGTTAATAAATCTATAAAAGACGTTATAAAACGCAATTCCAATAAAGTAAATCTTTTTATAACGAAACGGTCGTAACATTGTAATTCAAATAAAATATTATTTTCAACGAATGAGTAAACAAACCACATGATTGCGCGCAACGGATTGATATAAACGCTTCATCTTCTTTTCGAAATGAATTCGTATCGTCGATGTACTAAATATGTAACCAGAACTTATAGTATTTATAAATAAAACTCGTAAAAGTAAATTAAATTATTACTTCTCATTTTTTTAATAAAAAATATTATGAATAAATTAAATAATTAGACGCTACTATTCGAGGAAAATCACTCTCTTTATATTAAATTCATTCATAACTCTATTCCATCCAGTATACCTTCAATACCTGTGCATTCAGCATAAATGTATTAACCAGTTTAGACTTCCGTGGGGACGGGATCTCAGTTCTGGCATGTAATTGATTCCATAAGCACGAACACTCATGTTTAGTTATATTTATAACAATAATATTAAAAATAAACTTTAATTTGAAACTTCATTCAGGCGCCATTTTATTTTAAAAGGTTTCAATTGAAATAGTATTGTTATATGAAATATTAAGAGCAGTAAATGCTGCATTTTTTACTTTGCCACCACTTTAATAAATGTCAAAGCGCTTTTTGCAATCTCAATTCATAAAACAAATTCACCACAATATATTGATTAAAATGGAAAGCTATGTTTAGTTAATCTAAACTTACCTGTTTCATCCTAAACAAGTTGTACAGCGAAATTAATTTCATTTACCTTTGTTTATTTGTTATCCTTAGTTCTATCTTGTATATTCTTAGAGGTATAAAAAGGAGACAGGATTCTTTTTATTAAAAAGAATAAAGATATTTATTTAAGGTTTAAACGCGGGCGAAGCCGCGGGCGTAAAGTTAGTATTAAATATTCCATACGACAAATAATGCTTTTATCATTAGTTAATGCAATCAATTCTTAATTAATGCTTTTTACTGCATGCATATTTAGTATTTGTCCCAGTACGTCATATGAATTATTCAAATCACCTTTACAAGCATTAAACTCAATCGTGGGTATCCACGCAATATTGAACATTACCTTCATGTCTAGACGGTTTTCTTGTTCAATTACGTTATAAAACACATTGATGATTATCAAATTGAATTTTCGCTGGACTTTACCCGAGCTTTACATTAAATTTAACTTCTAGACAGATGCTTATAAGTTATCTTAGTAGGTAACCAAGTGTCACACAAACAGTAATACTGTTTTAATTCAAACTAAAATTTTGTTTTATTATTAATTTTAAAGAGAACTGTGTACTTTAGTGATTATATTCCTATGCAATTGGCAATTCACTGCACCTTCTAATCAAAGGACGATGACCATATTTAACATCTTAGTAAAATAGTAACGTAAAATCTGAATTAATTTTCTTTCTACTATAATAATCCTTTAATGCTAACACCAATAAATAAATATTCTTAGAATATAGATGATTTTTAGCAACATAAATATGTTTTGTTTTTGTAATATGTAACTAAATATTTGAGAAAGCATTATATGAGTTATTTGGCATCGGCGTGTCTTTGTCACACAAAGGCCTCCAGGTTTAAACTGTGGTAGGGACACGCAGCAGCCTCGGCTGTTGCACGAATGGACAGGCTCGTCCGAGTAAATACCACGACCTCACAGAAGACCGGCGTAAAGTAGAAGTATAATACTTTCGCGTTACGTCTGGTGAGTGAAGTAGCAGGAGCCCAATTTCAAAAGCTTGTCAACGCATCTGCAATCCTCGGATGTAGGAAATTTCCAACTGACTTAACATCAGGTGAACCGCCTGCTCGCTTGGCAACTTTTCAAATTAAAAAATAAAGCTCATTCCTATCCATTCTTGATTGAGTTGTTCTATGCCATACCCGGACCTAAAATATTTTTGATGTCATCAGTTCAGCTTTTTCTTGTTCTTCCTCTTTTTCTCATTGTGGTGAATCTATGGGTCCATTGTGTTATATATTTTGTCCACTTATTAATGTCTGAGAATCCATTTGGTTGTTAAAGGCAATAAGCTGGCCCAGGTATATGTAGGCCTACACCTCACCTACAAATATTTGAGACCTGTTTATTATAATTTTAGTCTTTGTATGTTTATAGCTAGGCCCACATTTTGCTTTCACCTGATAAATCTTGGAGCATCTTTGAGAACCTTTCCGAGATATACAGCGTGTCGTTACAATCGCGACAGTAAATGAACACGTATATAGATGATAAATTTTTAAAATTGTATTAAACATTTACATTCCTTAAACATCAATATTAATTGAGTTATTAAATTTTCCAAAACAACTAATTTTAGAACACGTATAAAACAGTAACGAAAATTTCATTTGTAAAGGTCATAAAGCACATAAATGGGTTGAAAGAGACAAAACATGTTGTTAGAAGGAGAGGCTTGTTATGCGACGTTGTGGCAACGTATGAAAAAGTCTCTGATGTATGAATCAGTCAGTTGTAGTTGTATAGGATGTTACAAATTTTAGTTACTTTTGTACTTAATTAGTTTGTTTGAAATTTTTTTTTAAATTATGGATTTATTTTAACGTTAATATTTTTTATGATTATTGGCAAACAGCGTTAGACGTGTGTTCATTTATTGTCGCGATTGTAAAGACACGCTGTATATATAAGTATTATGTCAGCCGCGAATTTTAGATGATTCAAACGTGTTCTATTGATGTTAATTGCCATCCCATAATGTTATCCATCCACCTTCCTGATGATGGCACTAATGAAAATATTTTGGAGACACACTCCCTGCCTCACTGCCCTGTGCATTGGAAAAATTTTCCCCTCTGTTTCTAGTTTTTTTCATGCTTTACTGTTAGAATATACATTTTTTATTAGCCTTATGTATTTATTTTATATTCCTTGGTCTGGAAGCCCTAAAAAGGCTTCCCAAATGTATTGATGTTCCAAAAAGTCGAATGATTTATTAATCCGCAAATACCATGTATAAGGGACAGTTATATTCCTGGCATTTATCAACAAGCTGTTTTCGGTAGAGTATAATTTCTGATAGTAGTCTCTGTTGCTATCTTTAGAATGGGCTGTCTTTTTGTTTCTTCCTGGTTGTTTTTACTTTTCATTTTCGGAACCCATATTGTCTCTTCTTTTAACTCCTTGAGTGCTTTGTTAATACCTCCAGTTTTAGTTATGTGGTTTTGGATACAATCGGTTCTTCTATTTGACTTATATTGCTTTATATTGTTACTTATTTCTTTACTTAATTTAGTTATTTCTTGTAATACTGTTTTTCTCCTTCTATTTATAAGTAGTTCTTTGTTTTCCGTCTTTTGAATAAGATCTATTGTTTTTGAGCTTAGTTTATTTATATTTTTGTTTTTAACTCACTATAAATTTCTTTTGTTTCTATGTCATAAACTTCTTCTGCTTTGTCTATCTCGTTGGACGTAATAATGTTCCGAGAAGTTATTACGGTTGTCTTAACCTTTTATGTTCTGATGGAAGTGTTTCCTCTATATCTTTTTTCTTCATGATATAGTATTGCTCTGACCGTGCGATGATTACTATTAAAGTTGAGATTATGTATTACGCTGACATCTAGAAAACATTGAGGTTGATTGCTAGTAATAAAGTCTTTTTAGTTGCTGTAAGTCCCGTCGGGCGATATCCAGGTCTATTTCTTGGCAGATCCTTTCTTGAAAAGGCTGTTTAATATGGTTAAGTTATTTTAAAATGCAATGTTTCCGATTCTTATGAAATTTTTGCTTCTTTTTCCTATGCCATAGTTTCCTATTATCAACTCTTCACCATGTTTCTGATTGCCTATTTTCGTCATAGTAGTCTCCCAAGACAGTATGGTTTTATGGCTGGTCTCTGTTGGGTGGTTTAATATCCAGCAACAAAAATTAGATTTTATTTCCAAATACCTTTATTATTTTTCGTTAATGCATAAGTATATATAAATATATTTCAGTATTCGTATAACATAATTAACGTAGAAAAAAAAAATAAAAATTTTTTGTTACCTATTATAAACTGGCTAGTGCTGGGCCGTAATGCTACCCATTTGTAAATGGTAATGCGGCCGTAAATGATAAACGCAGGCTTTATGCGTTCACTCTCACTCCATTCTTGAAGACGACTATGATGTAAACGGACAGCAAGTTATTCCATTCCATCCTTGTACACAAAATAAAGTTTCAAATGAAATACGAATTATAGCAGAGGCAAACGTGACACGTACATTCACAAACTACAGCATTAAGTAAAAAATCATTATTAAAAAATATTAATAAGGCCTAATTTCATTTTAAATTGTATTTATTATGGATATTAGTCATCATTGTTTCACCACTTGTTTACATGTTTGTTTAAAGACTTAGGTTAGTCGTTTAATATAAACGAAACCACTCGAGCTTACTTGATTCATATATGCGGCATTTAGTTTATGCTAAGTGACGAGAGAGTTCATATGCTAATTTCGTTAACGTTCGCCAACACCATAATGTATAAGCTTGAAAGTTAATCAAATCAGTTCAACAATAAGAGTAACAAAATATTTTACTAAATATGCAGATTATATGTAATGTGAGATATAATTACTTTAGATATTTTCAATATATTACATGCTAAACCAATAGTGATAGCTTATATATCATCTACCAAAATAGGAAAAACTACACTTCATTATTTTAATCTAAATAAAATATACAGCCCTTACATAATTGTTATTTTTAATATATTGTTTTTTTTTTTTCACCATGGTGGTGTGTGCAATACAGAATATTCATTCATACATAATTGTATTGAATATTTTTCAAACAATTTTTTTCTTTATAGGCCATATATATCGTTACTGCATATATTTTTCTGATCTGCTTGATGACTTTTTCTTAGTTTTGACCGTCTGGCTGCTGAGCATCACTGCCTTCGTATCAAGCTGCTTGGAGACTGCTACTACTGTGTCTCTGGATTGCCCGAGGCTCGTGATGACCACGCCAAGTGCTGCGTTGAAATGGGATTGGATATGATAGACGCTATTGCGTGAGTTAAATGAAATGAATTCTCATACAACTTCAAGTCCAGATTTTATTTGAATCGGCGTTTACGATTTTGCGTCTAAATTCGCTAACTCTAATAATATAATATACTAGCGCGTTTTATTATTTCGTCTAAAGCTATCTGCAGTCTAAAAGAAATCTGTTGAGTTGTATTTCAGTATCTCTTTTTTATCTAAATTGTAATAATCAGTTTTTGTATTTAGTGTATACGTTACCGGCCACACACGATTTCAGGACACACTATTTTCGCCTAGGCTAAACTATTTCTTCCTATACGCCATAGGAGTAACTAGTTTAGCCTAGTCCTTACTAATTTAGTCCAAGCCCGAAAGCATAAACCAGTTTATGCAAATAGCACGTTGGGTTAGACCAGTTTGGCTAGGCCAAACTTATCCTGATATAAATACGCACACTCTAGGATATACTGGTATGGCCTAGTCTAAACAGTTTAAGCAAAAATATTTTGCAGAGTCGAAAGTAATTGAGTACCCAAATCACCCCACGCCACGCACCGCTCCTTTAGCCATTTCTTTTTAGAGGTAGGAGATGTAAACTAGGGCTCTGAAATATCAATCAAAATCAAAATCAAAATCAAATGTATTTATTCAACATAGGAGCATTACACTCACTTATTGATAGTCAAAACACTACCACCGGTTCGGAAAAGAAAGCCACTGTACTGAGAATAACCGGCGAAAGAAACTCAGCGGGCTTTTTTTTTTTTTTTAAATAAGCAGTTTGACATAAATTCGTTAAAATACAATATAAGAACTCCGATTGAAAGAGCCTGAAGCGATCAGTTCATTACCAGTGTGTTATCATTTAAATAATCATTAATATTATAGTAGCCTTTAACACACAAACGTTCTTTTACTATTTTTTTAAATTTAGCTATTGATGCATTTTGAACGTTTTCTGGAATTTTGTTGTAATAACGTATACATTGTCCCATAAAAGATTTACTTATTTTACGGAGTCTAGTTGTGGGTAGGATCAATTTATTTTTGTTCCTAGTATTTATATCATGAACATTATTATGTCTTAAAAATTTATCCTTATTTTTATGGACATACAAAACATTTTCAAAAATGTATTGAGCAGCAACAGTCAATACCTTTATCTCTTTAAACAAGTTTCTTAACGATTCTTTGGGGCCCAGATTGTAAACTGCACGAATAGCTCTCTTTTGTAAGATAAAGATTGTATTAATGTCGGCCGCGTTACCCCAAAGCAGAATGCCATAAGACATTATACTGTGAAAATAACTAAAATGTACCAAGCGAGCCGTATCAACATCAGTTAACTGTCTTATTTTTTTGACCGCGAAAGCTGCTGAGCTAAGTCTACTCGCCAGTCTATTAATATGGGGGCCCCATTGCAGTTTGGCATCAATAGTTATGCCAAGGAATACAGTTGAGTCAATAGGGTCCAACGCTTCCCCATATAAGAGTACATCAGTTTTTACATGTTTAACATTGGAGGAAGTTGTAAATTTAATACATTTAGTTTTTTTATTATTCAACAGTAAATTGTTACCACTAAACCAATGTACTACAGTAGATAGAGTATTGTTTACATCGTCTTAACTTAAAGAACGTCGGTTTACTTTAAAGATTAAAGATGTATCATCCGCAAACAATACTATCTCATGATAATTATTAACAAGATAAGGTAGATCATTTATGTAAATGAGGAAGAGAAAAGGCCCAAGAATAGATCCCTGCGGGACCCCATATTTACCAAGGCCCCGGGAGATCTCTTGCCATTCACGTCAACTCTCTGAATTCGAAGGCTCAAGTACGATTTCAGAAGATTGAGTGCGGCATCTCTTATACCATAGTGGCGTAGTTTCCTGACCAAGGTTTCATGCTGTACACAATCGAAAGCTTTGGTTAAGTCACAGAATATTCCTAAGGCATCCTGCGACTTTTCCCAGGCTTCAAAAATATTCATAACGAGCTGAACACCTGCATCAGTTGTTGAGCGACCCCTAGTTTACTAGGGGTCGCTCAACAACTGATGCTTGTTATGTATATTGCCATATTGCTTGTTATGTAATAAATTATGAGAGCTAAAATGCTGTAACATTTGATTCAACATGATTTTTTCAAAAATTTTACTAAGAGTTGGCAGTACAGAGATAGGTCTAAAATTATTGGGGTCGGAAGTAATACCAGATTTAAACACCGGAATGATTTTACTATGTTTCATAAGGTCAGGAAATTCGCCACGATTGATACAAATATTAAAAATAGTTGCTAGGTAAGGTGATATTACATCAATAATAGAACTGATCACCTTAACCGAGATCCTCCATAGATCTGCAGTTCTTTTAACATCTAAAGTTTTAAAAGTTTTAACAATTTCTGTCTTGTTTACAGTAGTAAATTTAAAGTTGACTTTACGTTCCATAACATTCTTTTTTAGTAATGACTCAGCAACTGTCGGTGAGGAAAGAAGTGACTTGGTTGTTGAAACTGGAATGACAACGAAAAATTTCTCGAAGAAAGTAGCAGCCTGTTGATTTGAGTTAATAGAATTATTATCATTAGTTAACATTAGGTCAGATTTGCGCTTCGTGACTCTTCCCGTTTCGCTATTAATTATTTTCCAAGTCATTTTGATTCTATCAGGTGCATTTTTTATTTTATTCCTAATATATAGAGATTTAGCAGTATAACAAGCTTTTTTAAATATTTTAGAGTAGGCACTAACATAAGAAACAAAACATTGACTATGATTGTATGTCCTTTCACTATAAATTTCATACAATCTACGTCTACTATTATGAATTCCGACTGTTGCCCATTCATTGAAAACTACAGAGCTTTTAGGTTTGACTGTCTTAGGAGTAAATATAGTATTAAATTCCACTTTAATTAAATTAAATAATATGTTGTAAAGTGCATTGGGGCTATCATTATAAGGTAGATACGTCAGCTTTTTTGTTATATTACTTCTAAACTTCTCAACCCGAGTTCTATTTACAGGAACAACCATTATTTTTTGTACCTTAGCACTACTATTTTTTATATATGATTTAAAAGTGGCAAGTTGTCCGCAATGGTCTGAAGTAAATATATTAATAATAGACTTGTTAATTGGGTTACAATTTGTAAATATGTTATCTAAACAAGTTGCGGAAGAAGTAGTGATTCTAGTTGGTTCAAGGAATAAATTGGCAAGGTTATATGAATTTAACAATGATCTGAATCTAGTAGAGGTGGTAGAATTTTCTAATAAATTTTTGTTAAAGTCACCACAGTCAATAATATATTTATTAGACTCAGATAACTTTAACATCAATTCTTCCAAAACATTTTCAAAAGATTCATATAACGCACTAGGAGGTCTGTATACGCATACAACAATGAATTGCTCAAGCTCCACACAGGCTATTTCAATAGTCTGCTCAACAGAGAGGCTCACAACATCTTTGCGGTTCTTAAATTTTAAAGCATTATTAATAAGTATAAGAGAGCCACCACGTATCGCTTTTTCTCTGCTGAACAGACTAGCAACCTGGTGACATCTGAAGTAAAATATGTACTGATAGTTTAATAGCCAATGTTCAGTAATACATAATATATCAATATTGTTACTGTTCAAAAATAACTCAATTTCCAAATCTTTACTTATCATTCCTTGGATGTTTTGATGGACCAGGCTAATACAATTTAATTTATTACTACAATTAATGTCTTTATTCAATTTACTTACATGTCTCACTAATTTACTAGAATAAGTTAAGTTTTTAATTGAAGTGCCAGAGATTGCCTCTGTTGTCTTCTTATTTAATTTAAATTACTTGGAACGGATTCCAAATTGGTACATGTCAAGGACTGCATGCGTCGGATTGGTAAATGTCAAGGACGACATGCGATATCGTTAAGGACTGCAGCTACGAAACATTCAGTTCAATCAGGCCAAGGTTTTGCGAGATGCAGCTGTAACAAAAACTGTTCCACAAACAGATGCCAGTGAAAGAAGACAATAATACTCTGCAATTCTAAGTGCAACCAAAGGTAACCAAAGCAAAGCAAAGCAACAAATGTAGAAATAAATAACAATTTAAATAATTGAGATATGGTTATTGCTTCTTTTAAAAACACTTAATATTTGTTATATTATCATTGTTTGTATTACCAATTACCCATATCTTTTAACGACGAATCATTATAGTTTTCATAAAAATGATTATTTTTCCAATTAAGCAGAATTTAATCCGTTTATCTATTTATTTTGACTTTCTAGATATACTGTAATGTTTAGACCATTCCATATCAGTTTATCCTAGAGTGTGCATATTTGTATCAGTATCAACTAGTTTGACCTAGCCTAAACTGGTCTATCCTATCGGGTTTAGGATAAATTAGTTTGGACTAGCCTAAACTGATTTATCCTATCGGGCTTGGGCCAAATTAGTTTCGATTCGTTTATACTAGTTACTCCTATCGCGTATAGAAAGAACTAGTTTAGCCTAGGTAAAACTAGTTTGTCCTGAAATCTGGTTTGGCCAGTAACATATACACTTTGACATTGTCTTTATTTCTGTTCAGTTATTTTTTCATTGGGAAATCTTGGCAAAAAATGTTTTCATTTGCAAGATTTATTATTGGAAACAATTCGTGCCATAATAGACTTTACGGTATGAGGCAAACTAAATAATAGACCGTACGTTGACAACACACAAGATTTTATTACATTTTGCACAATGCTGCATTATAGCTCCGAGCGTGGAAGTTTTGCTGCAACGCTGACTAATGTAGACCTTTGTAAAGGTAATTCGATTTTAAAACGTGAAAGCATAGTGAAGTGGAAGGATATCGCGATATGATATACGTGTAATGATTCAATTTAAAATTTTCTAAGTCGGATAAAAGGTATATTCGAAAAATCATAAAAGTACGCTGTGAAATGACAAAGACAATTTGTTGTGGATTTTGTTCTAATTTTTATTTAATAAATACTAGATGCCCTGATAGACTTCGTTCTGTCAAAAGTATTTTTTTTTCTGGTATTAAAACCTTCCGTGGACCTTCACGAATATACAAAAAAATAAATTAGCCGAATTGGTCCAGGCATTCTAGAGTTATGCGCTTACAAACATTCATTTTTATTTATTAAAGATAACAGAAAAAATTATGACTTGTACGACTAATGACAATATTTTTTATGCCAAATGTCTTCAAATAAGCAGTTATTCTCCGATTACTTTCTTATATTACTTACTCGCAATACGTCTGCGTAGAAAAGGCTGAAGCGTAACATTCAGACAAAAAGACAGATATACATGAAAATATGACTTTATATACCACATTCATGGGTGTGCCTAATGTTAACTTGGAAAAAGATCACGCCACAGCCTTCGCTGTGGCCCGAATGGGTAGGCCCATCCGGGGAAGTAACATGACCTCGCAGAAGTGGACGTGTTATACTTCTACGTTTCTTTTTGCAAGTAAGGTAACCGGAGCCCACTTTTTCTGAACGGATCTGCAACCGGACTGGTGTTTAGAATGTTCATGGGCAGCGGTAATCACTTAACATCAGGTAAAAGTAAGGCTCACTCACCAATTTCTCACATTAAAAAAGCCACACTCTATTTACTTTAAAAAACTGAAAATGGAACGCACTATATTGGTGAAGTAATATTTCTTAGAAGCTTTATGGAAACACGAACTGAGAGTGAAATAAAAAAAGGATTAAGTTTTTGTTTACTATTCCTAAGAACTAAATAAATAAATAAGTATCCTCAACTTGTAAAAATGAAGCTAAAGCGCATTTTAACAATTTAACAACGCCGTCTAGTTTTGGCGCAGGAATTAATTTCTTGTGTCACAAAATTTAGGGTGGGTCTAGGTATTAGGGTGGGTTTTAATTCTATCAATTGAAAAATTTGTTTGTGTTGTAGAATTAAAACCCACCTTTATTTTGAAACTGAAAATTCAAGTTACGATAGTAAACATTTTATCGCCGATAGCACGTTTTATTTGAATGTTTAATTATGGAATAGATATAGATAAGAATCAATTTGTTACTACTACAAATATGCATTAGAAATAAATTACCAATTTTTGTTGCATTTATGGTTCACTATTTTGGCGATAATGGCTTACACATAAACGATACATTGATTAGACTGTGGTGGTTTTTACTGTAAGACTATTTAAGAAAAACATTTCCACCAGTATATACGTGTAACTTTAATAGTTTTCGCAGCGCACATCCAAGTAGCTCGCACATAGCAGAATTTTTTCACAATTACTTGACACTTATCGCAATATTTTGGACAATTCACACAATGTCTTAATAAATAATAGCCTATGCGTTATTGTTATGTATAAGTTCTATTATTGTACAGTTTCATTAAAATCTATTCAGTAGTATTGGTGTGAAATAGTAACTAACATCCATCCATACATAAATACATTCGTTGGAACTTATCTCAAAAAGTGCGTGATTTATGTTTATTTTACGCGCGATCATTCACAACTAACACGCACACAAGTTTGTTTCAAAATGATTTTATGAATGACTACCGCATTGTCAACAAGTTCGATTTTTAGGGAATAGAATGACAATTTTTTTGAAAAAAAAAATAGTTTGATTTTACTTCAAGATTATATTACCGAGTCTGAACCTCCTGTGTGAATTTGGGCACCTTTAGAAAAGTCACCCTGTATACATATAGATTTATCGAGGTAGACCCCCCCACTGAACAGCGACGGCTGCCTTCGTACCAGTGTTTTCTGAAAATGTCAATTCCACTACATTCCACCGGCTCGTCGTTCCATATACAGCGTGTCGTTACCATCGCGACAATAAATGAACACACATATAGGGGATAACTTTTTAAAGTTGTATTAAACATTTAAATTCTTTAAACATCAATATTTACAGAGTTATTAAATTTTCCAAAACAAAGAATTTTAGAACACCCTTACCTATAAAAGCGTAACGTAAAGTTCATTTGTAAAGGTCACAAAGCATATGAATGGGTTGAATGAATTTAAAAGAGAAAAAACATACTGTTAGAAGGAGAGGCTTGTAATACGACGCTGTGGCGCGAGTTGTATAGGATGTTACAAATTTTCTTTCTTTTTTACTTAATTAGTTTGTTTGAATTTTTTTTTTAATTATGGATTTTGTTTAACATTAATGCGTTTTAGCGTTAGACGTGTGTTCATTTATTGTCGCGATGGTAACGACACGCTATATATAAATAGTAAGGAGTAATGATTTTATGTGCATGTTTCCATACAAGATACAAAATTTCTGCAGTGTTTATGTATTATTCCGTTCATTTTAACTGCGCACAAGCACACCACGAGGAAATATATTAATCAACGGTAATGCTCGTTGCACCAGTTTGGTACGTGAGGTGATGGCCGTGAACGTGAACATGCGTGTCGGCATCCACACTGGGCGCGTGCACTGCGTGGTCCTTGGTCTTCGCAAATGGCAGTTCGACGTTTGGTCCAATGACGTCACCCTCGCCAACTACATGGAAAGCGGTGGTGTTGCTGGGTAAGGGAGAACTATTCGGGCTCAATGGAAAACAAATATATTTGTCACGTGGGTAGTGAGTGACCTTAAGAGCTATTAAAGAATTCAGGTGGCCGCTTGGAAATATAAATATTATTTCTTCAATTTTACGGTTTCACATAGTTTTTTTCTTTCCAAATAATTGTTTAGCCGTGTGCACATTACCGAAGAAACTCTGCGCTGTCTCGGCGGTGATTACAAAGTGGAACCGGGATACGGAGGCCAACGCAACGCCTACCTGAAGGACCATAACATTGAAACTTACCTGATCGTCCCTGATGATACCAGCCGAGTTGTAAGTGAAACATGAATCAAATATTGTGTTACATTCGAGCTTCACATAAAGTCGTTAATTTCCTTATGCTACCCATATATTTGCAAAAAGCTAACTCTTGCGATTCAAAATATTATGATTTGCGAAGATGCGAAACAACTATAAGTGCGTAACACAAATAGTTGTCCCGTGTGGGGATCAAATCCATGACCCCCGACGCCGAAACCAATACCTTGGCAACTGCGCCACGGAGTCATCGCAAAGTAAATTATTAAAATATATTATTATAAAGAGAGAAACAGCAGAAATGCGAAATTTTAATATAAAAATCTTGATTTAACGAGTATTTGTGAAATAATAAAAGTATTTTGGTAATATTGTTTTCATTGGGGTTTTATGAGTAAAATTATAACGGTTTACATTTCGTATCTTGCACATTGGAAGGACTATAACAGAAATTGTATTAACTTGTCACTTGATACATTGCATTCTGTTATAATCATTATGAAGTAATTTATGTGATATAACTCGATCCTCCATTAATAAGTCTAAAATAGCTAAGATCAGTTCGTAATAGGTCTAGAAAATCAAATAATCTGATGCTTTAGAAATAACGAGGTCGCCTGAAAGAGAACTGCCTATAACTTGAGCCTCATTATACGATTAACAATTGAATATATTTTGCCTATGGTGACTTAAGTTTTCTAACTAATCTTTTTTTAGGACTCGAAACCCCAGCATTCATTCTCAGTCAACGGAAATGTTTCAAAGGAAATGCGTGTAATGGGCCACGGGTCTCAACATGGCAAACATTCCTCCAAGTCAGTATTTCGTTTTATTTGTACCATTCAAACACTTTTACGACATATCAAGGAGTTAGGAGCAATAACGAGACAAAAGTAGAAAATCAAAGAAACAGTAACATGTAATTTATTCATAAAATAAATCCGCTAGAATCGCTATAAGACAACAGTTCATTTATCTTTATTACCTAATGGCTTGTTCTGTTTAACGCCTCAAAGATATTTCCTTTAAAGATCTAATAACTTTGACTTCTAAATCCTTAGTAACAGATACAAATAAATTTATAACATAGAAATGTATACAATAATACAATTATCGACTAATTTATCATTTATACTTAGAAATAAAGCTTCTACAATGTTTTTAAATTCTTTGTAATACGAATATTAATAAAAGGCGACGAATTTTACAACTTTCCACTTTCAATTAAGTCAACCAGCATTTTCTATATAATCTCTTTACCGGTTGACATGAGCCGAATTAAAATCGGGAACAGAAAGTAGAAATTTACGCTATTGCATTTTCCTTAAAGTTGCGATTTATAAAATATTCTCTAAGGAAACTCTGTACTTTTATTTATTTTAAACATTTACGTGCAATTGTGTATTACTCATTTTTGGTGCCTACAAAGTATTAAACCACCAAATCGATTTTGTATTTGTTAATAATAATAATAAAAGTAATATAATTGAACTCCCATTGATCAAACAATAGTTTTTTTTATATTGTCACAGTTGTACTGTGACAATATAAAAAATGTTCATTACATTTCTAGGATTGATATGAACAATGAAAATAAGAAACCCGAGGATGAAGTCAACGAGTACTTGATGAAAGCCATTGACGCCCGTTCCATCGACCGGCTGCGAGCCGAACACTGCCAGCCTTTCACTCTGACATTCCGCGACAGCAAACTGGAACGCAAGGTATGAATTAACAGGGGTCGACGTTAATAAACTCTATTTGCTGCGATGGCACCACGTAGTGGCCAAGTACCGCACGATTGAACCGTCTCTACCAAGGATATGGCGTAATCACCAGAACACCCTAGTGCACTATAACTGTTATATTTACTTTTGAATGCTACCCTGTCAGCAATGTAACCATCAACCAATAAACCTCATAAGGTGATATTGTACCAACAAACTGTCTGTGGACTTCCAAAAGTGGCCATTAATCACTCACCATCAAATCACCTCATGCGCATGTGATAATTTGGTGGTGAGCCTTGCCATACTCTAACAAAACAGCGAATACGGAAGGAAATAAAATAACGGCTTAGTTCATGTTCATATGAAACATTAGAATCGTAGTAATAAGCACTTTGATTGACATCACCCTCGTACAAAATTAGTCAGTTTCATGTGGTCAACGCTTTTTATGCCGACAGCAGGATACTATTTAAGCCAACCTAATTTAAACACATTAAGTCCATTTCAATATACAAATATTTATAGCATCTACGCCGTTCACTTAAAAGAAAAGATTGCCAAGTACAGATCGATCGCCTCATTGTATCGAGTAACCATTCTGCCAGTCTAAAACTTATCATTGAAAGTGCTCCAACGTAAGCATTTTCTAGTATTTACGCAAGCGATCTTCGGGCAGCCTCTTTTACGGTCACCCGTACCGTTCCAACTCTTTGTAAGATGTAATAATATTTCGCTTAGGTTAAATTGAACTAATAATACGATAGGTTACACTTTAGTCGGAAAAAAATATATTTTACTACTATAAAATCGTAGTGGCAGATAACTTACGGTACTTTTGTATTTAATTGTTGTTTTTTGTTTACAGTATTGACATTTATATTTTTACGAAACTAATAATAAATCGGCTTTTACTAAAACGCATACCTTATGTCTTAGCTTTTGCAGGAATATGTGTGCATAGTGTGCATGTGCATAGTTAAGTAATAAAATAGACTCGTTCATATTTATCCTTTATCCACATGCAAAAAGTGTACACCATATAACAGAAAAATCCACTTGAGTAACCGTTATGCATACCGCGTATTCACAAACACGAAGAATTGTTTGCAAAAGGAAATTGAAATTTATGTGAACTTTATTTCTCTGCATATTGATGTAGTGGTTAAAGAATACCCACCAGGAAATCTCAGTTGTGTTACACGTGTTCCACCATATTTTTACCATATATTCGTTATTTTTACCATCATCCGCTTTAGATTTTTAGCAGTAGTGCGAGCTTGTTTTTACCTATATATAGGCCACGTCACCTACTTCTTAATTATAATATAGTGTTGACTTAAACGTTACAATTCCCGTGTTAATTTTTGTCGCAGTACACTGCCGAACGTGACAGAATGCTGAAGGTGTACTTCATCTGCAGTCTTGTGGTCTACGTGGCTGTTGTCATCGTGCAGATTTTCATCTTCGGCGTGTAAGCTTTTATTCCGTTTTTAATATGTATATTTTTAGAAGTCTTAATAATTATTAATTATATAACCATGGTATAGTCTTGCTATAAATTGTACCTTCGACACTATAATTAAATACTTAGATTCAATTAATAATAAATCATTTTAATAAAATAAATAGTTTTTTTTTTTTACTTATAAAAGCCTCATATGATTTTGTGACTAAGATCAAGTTACTTATGTTACCAGAACTCCCTTCGTCATTGGAACCGTCACCGTTTGCAGCGTAATCATTCTATCCGCCACGTATCTCGTCCTTTGCATCGATTTCAAAGTGAGTACCTAATGACAATCGATTTTAACCGATTTCACTTCTTAAGCCATATTCAGTATGAAACGTTTACTTCTCATTCTTTCTAATGGTCTTATCCTACTTATATAGGGTCGGGACAATATGTGATTCATATGGTATTGGCTAGACTTTTACGACTGTCTGCCTGTTATCAACCTTCCTTGGCCTAGCAGATTAGGATAAACAATTATCTGTGAGTCACAGAAATACTTGTCCTTTGTTGGGGTCCCCCAACATAGACCCACCGAACAACCCCCAACACGGAAACCAATTGCTTAACAGTTCAATGTTCACAGTATGTTATAATTTATGGGTTTCAAAAAATCGTTTGGATTCTCAATACTTGTAATATTCCCTTTCCATGGCTACGATATTGTAGTTTTCATTCTTACACCAAAATTTCGCAAGGGATATTTATATTGATATATGACGAGGATCTATTCTATAGTAAAGTATTATATTTCGTTTTATGAAGGAAATGTTATGTATTTACTTATCGGATATCCAGTAAAATTTTAATTATCACATGTATCATTAATTAGTAGACATGCATGCACAATATTGGTAAATGTACAATATATTATAAAAAAAAAATTAGGAATAAGTCACATTCCGGTTCATTCAATGCCAAGAAAATCCATTTAATTTAATAAAAATCTTTTAGCATACTTTCGCTCGTGTACTGGAGATGTCACGCCGTGTACACAACAACCGTACTCTTGCTCAGCTGATATCCTTCCTGGTAGTCAGCATAATCGTCATACAGATTCAGATGATTATGGTAAGTTTGCTTTTTAAGTTTTATAACTTAACGCAACTAAACTAAAATTAGTCACTATCGTGTGCTAGTGCTAAGCTATGAGTAAGTTTCTTTTAGATCCGTTATTTATATAAAAACGCCTCTATTGCAATTTCATAAATGTCATCTTCCATTCCATTTAGTAAAAGACATCTTATTAGTCATAATAAAATTATGATAAGCGACTAGGATAGAAAATTACTATATTAAAGTAAGTACATAAAATGGATATAATTATTTCTTTGAATGTATACATTTGGAAATTTTTATGGTTCCGTACCCAAAGGGTAAAACGGGACTCTATTACTAAAACTTCACCGTCTGTCTGTCTGTCTATCTGTCCGTCCGTCCGTCTTTCACCAGGCTGTATCTCATAAACTGTGATAGTTAGAAATTAAAATTTTCTCAGATGATGTATTTCTGTTGCCGCTATAAAACTTAAAACAGGATAAAACAATATTTAAGCGGGGCTCCCATACAACAGACATGATCTTTATAGATAACGGTACGGAATCCATCGTGCGCGTGTCCGACTCGCACTTGGCCGGTTTTTATAGAAAATAAACTATTAAATGTATTCCTTATTTTTTCAGGCTATGGACGCTAGCACTCGAACTGGAAGTATACAAATATTCAAAAAAGATGTAGCCCACTGCACTCACGATGTCAACGAGGTGTGTTTACTTAAATTTGCTTTATAAAATGATTTAATTGTCTATACTACAGCAGACACACAATAACTAAAATTGTATTTAATACAAAACTCAATATCGAGAATTTATAAGGCAATATTTAATATTTGTATCATATATTGTATATAAACAATGTAAGCCAAAATTAACTTTGCCAACTCATCCGCTAAACGTATTTTACGCCACGTGGCTTTGAGTGAAGGGATTATCTGAGTTAGTTGTATAGGCCGGGGGTCAAAATTTTGTTACATGTGGTTGAACAGCTTTACAGCGTTGTATAATTGTTACAAAGTTTTGTCCGTTTGTAAACGTTTTCCTGATGCGTTAATTTATTACATTAAGATGTACCACGTAGGCTATTAATTTTTTGGTTATAGTCTGTTTCATAAGTACGTAAAAATAATCACAAACCCCTAGATCAGATCTCATACAAAATTTTTCGGTCTTTTTTATAAAAGTAAACGCAAAAATAGAAACAACTATCCGGAAAAAAATAACTGTAAATGAGTTCTCAGCTACACTTGGTTCTGACATTGGTAACCTATACGCAAAACAGTTTCAATCCGTTTACAATACAGACACGTTTATGGTAGCAGTATAAATTTTCCGTTTGAGCAGGAGGCTAATAAAATAACAGCCAATATTACAGTAACCTCAAATAATGTTCTTACAGTTTTAAAAAGAATGGTCCCATTCAAAGGTGCAGGTGCTGACAGAATACCATAAATATTTGCAGTCAAGTGTGCAACGGCGTTAGCATAACCTTATCATTAATCTTTAATAAATTCCTTAAATGTCTCTAATACTCCTATCCTTAAATCAGGAAATGCTGAATCTGTTAGCAACTATAGACCTGTTTCCATTCTAGCCACATTTGCAAAAGTTTTTGAAAAAGTTGTTTATCCTGTCATAAATTTCCACTTCTGTCAATAATTTCACCATATCAGCACGGATTTTACAAAAACAGATCCACTTCAACAAATTTATTATCTTTTGGACACAATAACTTCTGCATTAGATTCTCGCAAACACATTGACGTGATCTATACTGACTTCAGCAAAGCATTTGATAAAGTTCCTAACAATGTACTTATTTAAAAAAATGGCTCAGTATGGGATCATAGGTAGCTTGCTTGAGCAGTTTGCATCATATCTAACCGATAGAATATCCGATAGCTATTGTCAATGGCTTTCAGTCACAACCATTCAAAACTTTGTCTGCTGTTCCACAAGGACATTTGGGGCCTATTGCATTTAACATTTTTCATCAATGACACAAGTCAATGTTTCATACACTCCAACTTTTATTTATTTGCAGATGATTTTATTGCATGCATTATAAAATTCTTTCACTGCATAGACACCTGTCATGATTCTGCTCTACTTTAACAAGATTTAGATAGACTTGTCTCTTAACATCATAACAAAAAACTACCCAACTATAGTGACAGGTAAAATCATTTTGAAATGAAACCACTTTTCGAGCGAAGATGTATATTAGACAACCTTTTCTTACATAAACTAATTAACGGTGCATTGGATTGTCCTGAACTTTTGACACGAATTAATTTAGCAGCTCCGTCTAGATCAAAACGAAAAATTTTTGTAATTCACCGGTCTAAAACGAATCCTGGCAATAACTAATCACTCAACCGTTTGTCAAAATCTTAAAATAAGCTAGTACTTAAGCTGGTACTTACATGACCATTTTTAATTATAGTATAGATAAGTTTAAGAGAAATCTGTCCGTTTATAGTTTTTTATTTAAATAGTTTAAATTTCTTCTTCTTTGTATCTACAATTTTTATTTTTGTTATTTTGTTAAAATACTGTTATTTTTTGTTTTTATTAACTACTGTACTAAGCCTTTATTAAACATTTAATATATTTTGACAATTTTCTTTTTTTTAGCTGTTGTCAATATGATATCTTTTGAATGTCGTTTCACCTGTAATTGAGATACCATTTAGTTTAAGATACTATGTACTTATTTATGTTCTAAGCATGCTTTGATGTGTATCTTCTTGGTGAAGTAAATAAATTAAAAAAAAATAAGGTTTATAATGTTTTATAAGATTTACAATTGAGGAATGATCTTTAAAAATATAGATGACGCAATTTATTGAATATTTGTGCGGTGTTTAAAAATTGTTCAATATTACATTATATAACATATGTAAGTGAATGTGACAGATTATTTAAAACGTATAATACCGAAAGAGATAGCAGTCTATATATAGAATTGCATTCTAATTACACCAATTGGTGTAATTTGAGTGCCTCAGTTTTGGTGCGCTAGTGTCATATCTACCTCGTATTCGTATATAATATCATTGGCTTTGAATTTATATGTTGCATTATTTTATTTTCTTTTGATATTATTACGATCACAGGGTTGACGTATTGAATATCAATATCCCGTCATGACAGTTTGAATGACGTATTTAATTTAACTTTAAATTAGTACTGTAACGTGTAATAAGGTTCTTATACTAGAACTTTCTATTAAATAGGCGATCGAAATTCGGGCCCAGACTCCAATAAATTCTATTAAAAAAGCGTGTTGACTCAAGAGTTATATACACTTAATAGAGACTATGAATTTCTAGAAAGTTTTAGCCGCATAGACGATTGAAATTCGACTTATAAAACCGGACCAGAGCGCGTTACACAGACAGTTCAGCGGAAGAACTAAACGAGAAAGAAAGAAGAATAAGAAAAGGAAAAGCGAAGGACAAAGTGCAAAGTGAAGTGAAAAGTGTAGCGGAAAGTGAAGTACAATTGAGAAGAGATGAGGCGTACGCGGATGATCGGTGCGTTGCACCTATATAGGCGTAGATGAAAGGTGGTGTGACAATGAGAGGGCATCGCACCTATAGTCTTCTAACCGGAGGATTGGTGCGTAAGCCGTTTTGCCTGTGGTAGCGGTACCAAGAGGGCCATCGCAGTCATTCGTGGGCGTTAATGAAGTTAACATTTAAACGACCCACGTTTCTCTCCAATCCCGAACCTTTGGTACCAACTGGTCAGAAGTGGGCATCGAGAATCCGGTCATACCGATTGATCAAAAGGACAGTGCCACTACCCACGCTAAGGGACAAGCACGTCGACGGGAGGCAACTATTGCACGCTATGCAAGATGACGTAGGACTCTTAGACGCAGAGCTCCTTGATGCGAAGTTGATCGCTCACGACTTTGACTATGGCACGGACAATGCCTATGGCAACATCATTATGAGCATAAAGATCGAAGAGAAGGCAAACCAAAGCACCAATCGAAGCCGTCTCCTGTAATCCACACATTAGCCATTTTACGGGGCAACATCTAAATTGAGTCTGAGGTGGACAACGGTAACAACGACAGCTAAGGCCTGATCAACGGCTTCTAGGGATATAATGCGAGGTGGAAGGACCGAAACCACGCTACACAGAACACAATCGTCCGCAGAATGCACACCCCGAGCGCGACCGGGGGTCGGGCCACTCATGGGCATGCTCCCAAATATTGGAACAGGCAGGAAATGGAAGAGCTGGAAACTGAGAGAAAAGAGCTTCTTATTCCAGAAATTTCGATTAAAGGTACGATCGATTAAAACGATTTAAAAGACAAACGAAATTGAAATAATTTCTAGAATGTTTTAGCGGAAAAATCAGGACAAAACAAAAGGTGCTCAGAGCGCGCTAGACAGGCAGTTTAGTGAAGGAACTCGAAGAGGAATAAGAAACGGAAAAGTGAATTGCAAATGAGAAGAGGCGTACGCGGAGGATTGGTGCGACAACGTGAAGGCCGCCACACACGTTTGTGGACGTCAATAAAATAAAAATTTATACAACCAGCATTTTAACTCCAATCCCGAACTCCTAACTCGTAACAATATTCTACTCACTAGAGTTTAAGTTGTTTATTCTGAGCTCCTTATTGTTTTCAAATTTCTTACCGTTTTGTTTAGATACAAATCATCAATCTGTATTTTATACTTTGTAATCAAAACTAGTAAAAATAACAGTATCAGAGCTTTATGTACGTTTTTTTTTTTTTTCTAGCATTACCTTCAACTGACCCTGATGGCAATGTGCCTTTGCGCTGTGCACCAGATTCTGATCACAATGGCCAAGACCATTCTTCTTCTCATCATGTGCTTCACTTACGTCGCGATTACTGTTCACAAACATCTTTACTTCCAAGGCAACTTCTTCAGCTACCAGTAAGTTAAATACTAGACCAGAGCTAGATGATTGTGGATCTCCTTTTGATCTTGAGAACAAGACATGTTTAACTAACACGGAATCATTTAAATAAATGATTAATTGTGAAATAACTAAGAATCGGCTTAAAACACATTTGTGTAAGAAAATATGAATGTTCCTATATTTTATTTCTTTATGCGCATCAACGGGAAATAATCTTTAACTTTTGCAGAAACACCTGTGACATGGACTGGAACCAACAATGGACCAACATCGTGATCGCTATTGGAGCAACGGTGGCACTTCTTCTACACTCGCAACAAACAGAAAGCACCTACCGCCTCGACTTCATTTGGAAATTACAGGCCAATGGTAAGTTTTTCCTGGCATTATACATTTTCAAGTGAATTATACTATAAATTTAAGTTACAAGTACAATGATATTTTAAATTAAAACCAAACTATTAACATTATTTTCTCTTATTAGACGAAAAAGAGGATATGGAGCATCTTGAAGCATACAACCGCAAACTATTGGCAAACATTCTGCCAGAGCACGTAGCGCAACACTTCCTATGCAGCGACAAAAATATCGATGTAAGTATATAATTTATAATAGACTACAGAAAAATTTACCGTACATATAAGTAATATACATTTGTGTGTATCCAGATCCACGTTAAATGGAATTCGTCAGTTGTGATTGATTCGATAATCCGTCGTTCAATAATATAATGCTCCGTCATATATACCTGTTATGTCTAGCAGTTTATTCAAACATTTCTGAATTCATGAAGCATTGATGACAGCCGTGGTTATTACAATCACTTTTTTCTTAATTCTTATTCTGATTAGAAATAAAGAAAGAAAATACATTTATTTACCAAAAAAAGGACGCGCACAATAAAAGAGAAAGAAAAAATATAATTAACATAAAATAAAAGAAATTAAAAAAAACTTATAAATAATTCAGTAAAGCAAAAGAACACAAATACATAATTAAAATATGAAACAAATAACTTTAACAAACCATTTTTATTAATGAATACTTTCTTCCCTCTATTTTTTTAAATAAAAGTTGGCAATGGAATGACGATCTGAAGTTATTACCGTCAACCAACTACAACACTAAGAAAACGTAGTGCCCCGATTCTTTAATACCCAGAAGATACGAAGGTATAATAATCTTTACGCTGGTTTTCTTTGAAGCCATGGTACTTCCGCGGACTAGTTTTCTCATTAGTGTTAAATAGAAAGCATCGGGGCTCTTCCAAACAATGTGATGATGATTTCAGGAGTTATACCACGAGCAATGCGAGTCCGTTTGCGTGATGTTTGCGTCCATCCCAAACTTCTCAGAATTTTACGTTGAACTGGAAGGCAATAATGAGGGCGTAGAATGTCTGCGTCTGCTTAACGAAATCATAGCGGACTTCGACGAAATCCTAGCGGAAGAACAGTTCAAGTACATCGAGAAAATCAAGAGCACCGGGGCCACCTACATGGCTGCATCTGGTAAGTCTATATATAAGGAAATACTACTATAAGAAACATTTGGATGAGCCAGTTAGGTTTGGACTTTTATCATTGAAATATCAATTTGTAGTGAAAATAACGCAAAAAAAAAAAACATAAAATGACAATGTATTTATCTATAATATCAACATGACATAAATTTGTGAAAAAGTTCATAATAGAGAAAGAAAGAATAACCTTTATCTATTTAACTTTATAGAAAGCGACACAAATAACCTTGTTGTATATTTTTGATATATTTATAGGACTGACAGCAGCCACACGGGACTTGCTCGGCTACCGTCATGTGACCGCCATGGCCGACTATGCATTGCGCCTCCGGGAACAATTGCGCTACGTCAATGAGCACTCCTTCAACAGCTTTCGCATAAGAATTGGTAAGAGTTTGTAAAGGATAGCTTGTTTGCGCATATTCTATAAAATGATCGTGTTAGCTAAGCGATTTCGAAATGCATTGCGAAATGCGAGTTCGTTTGAATGTATATTTTACATACACACTCGGCTAAGCGTTATATGAGTCAATCATTGGTGGAATCAATTCGACGTGAAGTCTTATTGTTAAACAGGTATCAACATCGGACCAGTGGTGGCTGGTGTGATCGGTGCACGTAAACCTCAGTACGACATTTGGGGGAATGCCGTCAACGTCGCCTCCCGTATGGACTCCACTGGAGTACTTGATCACATCCAGGTAGACATTGATTTTTCACTAATTCGTTAACTTCGGAATGAAATTTTCATTTAAAAACACGTAAACGGTGTTATTTTATGCGAAGCGAGTCAGATTTGCTTGCGTGAAAATTGCCTATACATCACTGCTGTGCGCGATCTTTTGTTTATCACAAATGTGTGTTGCTAATTGTATTCATTTGTATAACATGATGCGCTAAAAATTATGCGTTAACAAATAAGCCTCCATCATAATCCATTTTGTTCATAATCAAATCAGGTTACGCAAGAGGTGTATGATATTTTGTCGACACGCGGGTACCGACTGAGATGCCGAGGCACCGTGGACGTCAAGGGCAAAGGCAACATGGTTACTTTCTTCCTCGATGGAGTTGGTGATACCATTGGACCATATATTGGAGAACTTTACCAAGTGAGTTGGTTTTACAATCCAACTCTGCATAATTTTGTACGTACATGAATGGAAACTAACGAATAGTTTTTACTCTTATTATGTATAAGGTGTTAAAAATAGTTATTTCTTAATCCTAGTTCTATACAAAACACCAAATAAAGCACTAAAAACTCCGTTTATTTAAGTAATTACCATAAAGTTTTTTATGGTATGTTCATTTAATTATGTTTATCTTTATGGATAAAATATTTTTTTCTTAATGAAATTGATATGAAAGTGTTAAATTATTTTGAACATTGACCATGTTCGACAATTTTAGCATCCGATGCCGTCAACCTCTGATGAGGCCGTTGCGGGACCCAGTGGCATTAACACCCGCTCTGACCATCGACCCCTCGAGACCCTATCCGAGGGATGCGCCGATGAAGACACAGGACCATCGCCACAACCTTCCATCCCAAAAGGTAAGACCTATGGCAGCGAATAAATTAAATTATGTACTTAATATCTATTATTTTCAAATAACACAAACATTTGTTTCAATTTTAATCTGATATAGGGCAAAGGTTAAAAGTGTAACATTTAGAAGCAGGTGACTACTAGTCAGAGAGAAGTGCACTTTTTCCACGATTTAAGAATTTTTGTTACAAAAAACGTAGACTATTGAATTTAAATAATGTTTACTGATTCTTTAAAATATAATTTATTTCAGAGAATCAAAATGGGTCCACGAGCCCCCAGTACGGGATAAGAAATTCTGCGTCCCACGAAAGCCTGGCGAGCGCCGTCCGTGCCCGTGTTATGCTTCGTATGGAGCGTCCTCTATCTCTCATCGATGCTCCCAGCCTACCCGCTCTTATATCGCTCATCAATTCCAAAGCCTACTCAACTGGGTTCGACAGCGCTTATTTCTGCAATGAAGTGTCAAGCAAGGACGCCCCAATGGCCGTGGTTAAGAAACCAGTTGCTGAATCTAAGAGCATCAGTGAAATCGAAAGAAATATCCAGGAGCCCCGTCGTGCAGCCAGCCTTGTCGACTTCCTCTTCAGAAAGAAGCGTAGCAGGCTGAATACCGATGACGTCAACATTATTGAAAACCCCATGAACGCAATATAAATTTAACAAAGAATACTTCCTTCAAACAATCGATTTCTCATTTTCTATACGTGTTTTATGTTGTGTGTAATGTTATATGTGTTTTGCACTATTTTTTGAAGGAAGTAATACTATTTAATGATACAGAGATGGACATTACCCTAATTGTTACTTAAAATTCCTGGCTGCGACATGATAATTCTGTCTGTAAATTTACATCGACTTCATGTCGGTGTGAAGTTGCATACAAATTATAACCCGGATTTGATGCTTTCCCAAAGACTGAACATAAAACCTACATTGACATTGGAAGCGAAACATCAACGTTTCCATGAAACCGTACGAACTTAAATCGAATTTATTGATATGTAACACACACTGAGACTATCCTTGTTGGGGTAACGTTGGGTACTACGCGGGAGTTGCAGTTATTGAATTTGACCAAAGGCTCTATCAGGTGTTTGCTTCATGAGTGTGACATAGATTACAATTATACCCAACGAAACTGAATGATGTTACAAGATTCAATTGTATAATATATAGTTAAAGATTATTGCATAACTATGCATATTCTGTGAACTTACTATTACTTACATTTATCTAAGAAACCAATACAATCATCTATCAGACTTAATTTATTGATTCTATGGTAACTAAAAAAAGTGAGTTTCAAGTTTTTAATAGTGACAATACATTGGCATTACAAAAACGTCAATTAAATTCGAAATATGGGTTTAAATTTATTAGAACAAAAACTTGAAGCGAGCTTAACTTCTGAATGTATTTATTAATCTATTATTATATTATAACCGTTGTTATCTACTAATTTTTATATAATAAAATAATAATATATACATATATATATATAACTTAGAACGTTTTATCAGGCGATATTGTGTGTATGTCCGTATTCATACTTACACTGCGCTTTTCCCTTTTTAATTGCTGATATTATTGATTGTTTACCAAATACCTTAGTATTAGTATTATTCAGTATTTATGTATGTTTATTAACTTGTAAATGTTTCAACGACTGTTTTAAACACTACTATTTAATTTATTGCTACTTTCAATTATGTTAAAACACATTGATAAGCTCAAGATTCAGCCTTAGGTACAATCTCAAAATAAACTACTTTAATTTTAATGTTATGCCATTTTGTAAATAGCTTATAAGACTTCGTATAAGATAGAACATGTGAAGGATGCGGCTGTACTCTTTTAATCTGCTACTGCACCACACAAAATACCAATAGCTAATTATATAATATATTCAGTACACAGCAGTCACTTCGAATATCTCCTTCAATCAGTGTGGCCTGTAAGGGAAGAATGATATACCTTCAATCTCTATAGAAGTACTTTTTAGTGTAATACAATTGCTAAACGTAAAATAGCAATTTGACGTGGTCGCGATTAATTTTAGATATTTTTCTAAAAAGATCAACAATCTAGGCATTGTTTTTTATTTTACGTAACCATGTTATGAAACATATTAAATCGGACGATCGTACCAACTATTATGTTTTATTTTGAACAATATAATTAAATTTATTTGATTATTAGTTATGGTTTTTAGGATTATTTTTAACTACTAGTATTAATTTTCTCAAAGCGACCACGTGATACGGGTATCTGTAGCAAGTCCGTACCAAAATTTCACCAAATAGTCAAACAAATAAATTATTCGTATACGATTATTGTTAATATAGGTAGGCAGTGGTTAAAAGTAGAACAATATTTTGATGTACCTATTTGTTAGTGAGTAGTTATGTGACAAAGTACGATAATAATAAGTGTTTAATTAATGTTACTTATTGTATTGATTACGATTGGCAGTTGGATCGATGACTTTTATGAACTGACAAATTGAACTAACATTTCGCAACACTAGATAAATTGAATCGACTGCAACAAATTGAACTAACATCTCGCTTCAAAAGCTGCTCAAGCTCGCTTTAATATTGATATAATATACGCCCCGAATACAACACATCCATACAATGGCCATAATTATAATGAACCACTTATACAATTCAGTACCTGTTATTAGTATATAAATACTCATCGATCCAATACCATCTCATGTACTGTTTAATCTTCTGTACGAACGCATTGTCAATTTCATCATATGCCTCATTCGTTATAAAAAAATCGTAACGAATATCATAATCAATCAATAAAAGAAAATTTTCTTACCATAATTTCAACTAGGTGAGCTCAATAATCATATCAAAAATAAAAGAATCAAATCAAAAGTTTTCGACCAAGACCCTGGGTCCAATCATTTAAGACTAAATTAGTTTATTTTTTTCATCTATTTAGAAAGTAATGGGTTCAATCAGAGAATGTGCATTTATTAAGCGTTGGTGTTATGCTTTAACTGTTTTAACGTGTAGCTAATATTTACGTGATCATGTTTATGTTGATCTGCGTCAATTGGTACTTTCTTGAGATATTGCATAGAAAATTTCTTTTGAACGTGACGAAAACAAACGGGCAAACAGGTATTATTAAACTACGCCGAAATGATAAGATCAGTGAAAAGTTTGTAAATTATTAAATGTATTATTATAAATTAGTTCTTAGAGCTTAACTTTAATCAGTAAATTATCTTGCGGCGATCAGTTCGTGGTCCTAAATCGTCACTCGGTTAAAAAAAAAATTTGTTATACCCGAAAAAAACGCATCAAATGCAAATTGACTCGTGACGCACAGTTCCTCTATTTATGTATTTTGCAACATGTTAACTTCCTTTTTAACATGAACATTTCACCTGTGAATTACTTTACGCGAATAGTACACTTATTATCTGAAACTGCTTCTAATATTTTTTATTTTTGTTTTCTTTATTGGTTAGTTTTCCATGAATGACCATTAACTAGTTATTAAGGCGCACTTAACTAATTATATGTATTTCTATTTATATATTTAATGTGATCTTTCATATTTTAAGTTCAAATTCTTAGGAGCTTCAAATTCCCTTTGTTGTAATGTTGTTACATTACTTCAACAAGGAACATGAGTATTTTTCGATGTCTATATTGTTTATAGGTGTGTTATATTTAAAGCATACTTGCAGTTTTCGTGCTGATGTTGTGCCGATAGAACCCTCGTAATACCTGCCTGGCAGTATTATTTTGTAGTATTAATAATGTAACTATCTATTTTTCATTGAAATTTATCATTATTTCACATCAGTGATCCCTAAAAAATACATACATCCTAAAATGCGTCTTACGTTGCAAATTTATAACAAATAATAATCAAAGTGTTAAATGTAAAAGTTACTGTTGTACCAATATATACTCATAATTAATGTAGAAACGTATAGTCTTGATAAGATAATGTACTTTAAGTTCTGATTAAGTTCGTGTTTTACTTTTGGTACAGTTCATCGCTAAAATAGACTGTTATTGCAGTCTGTCCCTGAATCTCGTTTCTTATCTCGGTGCGAACAAATACGGGTTCACGTTATTTCCCAAATTTCCTTGAATATAGTCACCTTAAATCGATAAGCACGCTGTCGAGCGCACTGCGCAAGTTTTTGCCCTTTTTGTCTATATTACTTAATTAATGTAAAATTAATATTGTCTTAACTAAATGTATTAAATGTTTTTTTTAAATTTAATTAGTTAAACCTTGTTATGTTCTCCGTTCAATTAATGTTAAAGTATTTTTTATATTCACGAATAATTGTAATTTTAAGTTTTTGTTTTATTTACGCTAGACACTACTGAACTGAAACTATTTTAACAGTTTTGATCGCTTTTGATTTGTTACTTTATTCTGATTTCTTAGTATAGTTTAAATTCAAATTAAAAAGACAAATCCCCTAAAATATTTCCTTTTAAAGAAAGATCGTTGTCATTTGTTTTAATGAAACACATGATCCTATCAGAATTGTACGATGGGAGATTGAAGTTAGTTAATACAGTTTTTAATATAATGTGTGCTAAGTTAAGTGTTCACATATAATAAGTAAGTTTCGTGTTAAATTTCTAATCATTTTTACTTCAAACGCAAATCCATTTAAGATCCTCCCAATTTTTTTTCATCAAGTGAGCTATTCAGAATGCATCATATTCTGTTGCATTGCTGGTAGAAGATAAAATAGAAAAATTTATAGTTCTACATTTTGTCTGGCGAGTGCTTTCGACCAGGGCATACCCTTTTAAGTATTGGTAAACTACAATAACCCCACGAGCTTTTTGACCTGTGTCTTAAACCACCTGCCCCTTTTCCAACCGCTCCCATAGTAAAAATATATTTTCCCACAGGAGCAAATGCGTTTGAAGCAAAATTCTTTTTTCTAATTCCTATTGTATTAAGGTATTACAATATCTGCTTTATTTAATTTTACACATATATTTGCGGTCAATCATTTAAAATCACGTACTGAATACACCAAGCTACAAAAATATATTCTAAATTACAGATGTATTATAGGAAGATGAAACAAACATAAATTTAAGTACAAAGTTTCAAAGTCATACCTAATAGACAATAGACAATATTCTACCTAATAATATGCAATTGTGTATTCAGTTTCTTTCTGACCGTTAAATTTCCCAAATTACGTCTTGCCTTTTTGTAACAACTAAGTTATATTAATTAATACCATCAGGCATAGGATCTTTATTTTGAAAAATGAAATATTCTTACTATATACATATGTGAACTTAGAATATTAGTGGTCTATAAGTGTCTATGTTAATCATACTATTATTAATAGAATTATAATTATTATAAAAAATTGTGTATCGCTACTCTGCTTTTGTGACAAACGAACCGCTGTAAGTTCCTCCATGCTTTCATAATATATTAATTATATATTGCGAATGTTTTCAATTGAATATTTAAACTAAAGTACTAAACAAAACTCTAAACTAAATAAAAACTCAATTCACTAAATAAGAATGTAAAAAAGATAATTTACTATATGCAATTAACATCGTAGATAAACAAAAGAAAAGTTGATCATTTAATAATGTTAATAAACTAACCTATCGCAATAC